AAAAAAAAAAAAATTTTTTCAGGTCCTACTTACAACTACTAGTTTCAGTAGTGTTCTTAGCTGCGAGGATCTTCTAATTTCATCTTTCCACCGCAGTGCAAATATGTGAATTTTCATATATCTAAATCTTCATTCACTCGGATGTTTATTTGTACCCAATTCATTGACCAGCTCCCAGTTGGCTTGTTAGCTCAATTGGTAGAGCGCTGCACCGGTATCGCAGAGGTCATGGGAGGTCATCGCGAGGATCTTCTAATTTCATCTTTCCACCGCAGTGCAAATATGTGAATTTTCATATATCTAAATCTTAATTTCGTTTTTGTTTCTCCTTGACGTTGCGTTTTAAAAGTCCAAGTAACAATGTGGTTACAAAATGATGTTAGTAGCCGTCCTTTGATCAGATTTTAGAGACGTCAAACCAAAGTCATAATGGGTCGGTGGTGACATGGTCCTAATTATTAAGAATGTCTTGTTGTGGTCTCATTTAATTACGCCTTTAACCTCCCGTACATTGAAAAAACCGCAATGTTGTCGCTAAATTAATCTTTTTGAACTGTCTTTGAATTGGTCAAAATAGCATGTGGCTTGAATAGGAAGTTATTAATGTTGCTTTTGCGATACATGTACTTCAGGATGACCTCGAACAAAAAAAATGAAAATTCCAAACTTTTCTTTCTTTCTATCAAAGCATTTATATGCGTGTCACATGTTTGGTTAACTTTAAACGCAATACGTACTGTCTCGTCTGACTTGAAATCCGAGCGGCATTGTCTGTGTACGACCTCAGCCTCTTGCCAGAATCCTTAGTTGAACAAAATGTCGCGAGCTTCCCTGCCTTGAAAATCGTAGTGAAGACATTTCTCTTCCTGACGCCAAGCATTGTCCACAAATGCGTGATTTAAATTGATGATTCCTTATGCTGTGATTGTTTTTCGTGTCATTTTTGTGCGATAATTTCTTCTTAAAGCAGCAAAGGATATCAAAGACCAGAGAAAGATACAACGCACCAACCAAAATCATGTCCAAATTAAAATGAAAGTTTTCCATACCACGTAACTCCAAATGCTATTTTTTCGTGTTGAGGCCGAAGTAGATACTTTCCCAAGCATACAGACCACGGGCCGAGCTGTATTTGCTGTGAGTCGTTCTCTGTCTAATTACGCGAAACCTCAGGGAATTTTACGGTGCTATTAATATGTGTATTTTGCAAGCTGTTCTACTTTTCTCATCAACAAGCACTTGCACTATTTAATAAGTACATTCTAGCAGAAGAAACAATTGCAAATTAACAATAATTATCGGAAGGAAGGCTTTCGACTCTCGAAAATGCTTAAGAGCATCAAGTTGAAAGGAAACGTACATGATAGGCGAACTGAGGAAAAGTAGTGTAATAATGGACGAAATCTGCAGTTGTTATAAAAAAAGTATGACAGTAAGGGGCTATTAAATATTCATCATAAAAGGAAACTCGGACTTGTCTACTTTCTTTCTTATTTGGAGAATAATTTACGACGTTCCTTTTAAACTCCGGGGGTTCATTTTGAAGATTAGAAATACATTTATAGACGGATTCATCGACCTCTCGTCTCACGGCACGCTTTGCGGTATTGTTGGAAAAAATTACTAATGATAAAATTATGGAGAAAAGAAAAATTTGACAGTCGACGAGAATAGAGAAAAATATGGAAAATTCCATTTTCCTCCCAAGAACAGAGCAATAAGATTTTATGTAAATAGACTGGACTTAAAGTTGAGCTCACTGTCTCCAGTAACGTTGTAATTCACCATAAAAACGGGGATATTTCTTTCTTGAATTGTTCACTCATGTAATGTAAACAATATGGGAGACCGAAATGTAGGTAATATCCTTCGACGAGAAGTTTCGTCATTAGCAGCCATTGTTTCATATAGTGGTTAATATGTAGATGTAATGCTTTTGTGGGAAAATCTAGTAGAAGGCAATCTGGAGATTAAAATGGATGACGCAATACTCCTTAAATTGTTTGTGCGATGCAAAAGGTATTAGGATCGTCAGTTAGGTTAAGAGAGAATCTTTTCCTTAGTAAGAGGAAAGAGAGGTAAGGGAGACCTTTCTTATCTTCACGGCCTTCGGCCAAAAGTAATTTCGTAAAAAGATGCTTCAAACGGCCCATGAAGGCTAAAAAATATCACACACTCGTCGATTAACATTTCATTTAACTTTATTGAGATATTCAGACTGAGATGTAATTTGAATGGGCATTTTTCAGAGTTTTATTCATAACCCTCATAGATTTTGTTCGTCCCATGTCAACAATTATCAACCACGAACACATAGTGTGGTCTGTCTGTGCTTTGAACAGTACTTTGCACATTCTTTACCACATGTTAACAAAGACAAACCTTCCAATCTCTAATCCGGATTGACACGAACATGGTAATATTTATGAAAACGTAATACATGTACATATTAGCTTAACTTTCAAAACCAAACATTCTTATCAATAGGGTCTTTTAAAGGCAAATTTGACTGTTGGTTGTGCAAGAGCGTTGAAAACTCGTTTCCCATGGGAGGTCGAGTAAGCGTGGTTCAACTGTAAATAATTTTCGGTTTTTAAAAAACCGAGCGACTCTTTTCCCTATTTTGGGCTTTGAGCTTTGCAGACAGATCCTGACCTCTGGATGACCCCCATTGAGATATCTATTTGCTAAAAGTGATCGCTGTATTCGTCCTCACACCAGACAAACAAAAGTGTGGCATTTTGTCAAGAACACTTTCTGTACGGACATTCACTGTTTTTTCCCATATGTCATCTGAAAACTGTGAACCTCGCTAAAATCTACCTTCGCGTACCTTCGCTCAAAACATGCCACCAACGAAGTCGCCCAACCATCTGCAGCGGAGATAAATCAGTGGCGCTCCAAGGGTTCATGGGGCTAAAATATAATAAAGCTTCCACTTCCTCATTTTCAGCCACACAAGTTGCTGTTTCTGTTATTTTTAGAAGAAATAAGGAGGAGTTAATGGGGCGACGGTAGAAAAAGTCGCCTTTTTATTCCCTGCCCTTCTCGATTGCCACAACCTTAAAAACGCAAACTTCTTCTGGTTGTTTAGCATGAAACTGTAAAAAAAAGGCTTTAAGCGGAAAATAAAGCAGCTGCTCAGTTTAGTCAGTGATCCTATAAACTATGTTTTAATACAGCAAATGCAAATGCAAATGCAACATGCAAATCCGGAAATATAATTTCTTGCAACCGCGCGACAATTTGCTAAATGAAACGCGAACTGCCGGAGAATAAAGGCACTGATTAATCTGATGATAATGATGAGTCTTGATTGAAAAAATTGAAAACATCACCCTCAACAGACGTGAGTCTTTACGGTCGAAAATCCACAATAATAGACGGCACACGTTTCGCCTGCTTTCTTTAATGTTTAACTTCTAGTGGCGTCTCGAAGGTCATTGTTTACATTTCAGAGGAGCTAACAATAAGTAGCTAAATTCTATTTTTTAAAATGCAGCGTAATCATTTGAAACTGTCTACTTTCATGGACGAAATTGTGCGAAAATGAGTTTTTTACCGAATCTTAAGTATCTAGATCGCCAACCCTAATAAATAACCGCTTTAGCAGATAAAAATATTCTTTCTCGCGAGAATTAAAGAAAAAAATTCAATTCGGATCAAAGTAAACAAATCTTCTAAGGAAACTTTGGAAGTGCTTTTTTCTGCTTGATTTTTTATTTTATTTTCGAACCAATTGGCCAAACGTTTTCGAATTCGGGGCACACAGAAATAAACCAATTCCCTTAAAAATTGGCACCGTGTTACTTATAAGTTTTTATCAAGTAGTCTGCACAATATGTGCTAACTTTCTGAAGACTGTTTGCCGAAACAAGACGCAAGCACGTATTAATTGATTAAAGGCACATGAACGGTGACATGAGTAGTTTTCTCTTTTTGTTTTTAGATTGTCATCTCTGTATTTCCGAAAAAGTTTATTATCGAATTATGTAGTTTACAAACTTTGAAATGATTTATAGTTTTATAAGGATTAACTCAAAGCATTCGCTTCGATTGTAATTTTCTGTGACCCACCAGTGAGAGTATCTTGTGACATTTCTAAAACACGATCACACAAATGAAATTTTATATGCTATTGGATCTGGCCCCTAACTTGCGTGGGGTCTCCCAACCAATATAGCTTTTTGTGACTACTTCCATTTACGTTTGTTACTTAATTTAATGTCGGGGAATGAGCTGCATCACCACAACCCAAACCCTAATAATTTCAGAATAAGAAATCATACTTACAGTAACCACATTCGAAATGTAAACTAAAGGCAAGTGATACTTTACTAACTGACTAACAGGCTCAGAAAACTAACGAAATACTTCATAACACGTTAACATAGGGTGTGGGAAATTCCTGTCCGGATTTTTAGTCTCTTATCAAAAGGGAAGTTGTTTTCAGCCTTGTGAGGTACTTTTTTTTTTCCTCAGGACCTCGACCTTTTATTAATTTTCTTGAGTTTTGTGCGACGTACTCAGTTGGGATTCTTGTTTGTTTGATTGTGCCGAAGTTCGCGTTTCCAGTTGATCAGATTTTATTCGTGTATTTTTTTTAAATCGCTGCGGACAAATTCAGTAGCATGTCAAACCGTAATTGGACTATTATTGGGTTTGATCATTGTATGCGTGCGTGTGCGTGTGTGTGTGAACGAGCAGACCACAGCTGGTCAAACTGGTAGATAGGCATGCGGAATAATGGCTTTTAGGCATGCCTGCAAAGATGAAAAGAATGGCCAGATAAAAACTGCACGAACGAGGAATTATCACGGAAACCTTATGGTGAACTTTGAGAACCTAATCCGAACTTCCGCTCTGACAGTTAATTAGTTGGTTTATCAACATCTCTTTTGGTCAACTGTCGCTTTTTTCCTTATATCCTCTAATTGAGATTATAATCAAAGTTGTTCAAGTGGAGTCGGTGGAAATAAGAAATCCGGCTGTTAGTGGCCATGACACTTAGTTCGCTTATACTCAAGGCGGTTCTTCTAGGTGTTCTGGGCGCTCTGGATAGTGGACGGAGCACTCGTGCGTGTTCAGGTTGGTGTAAATCCACCTTAAATATGTCCCACTGATGGTGTCGCCATCTTACTCTGCAAATAACTCAGACAAAAATATAGTTTCCTCACAGTAACTCTTACTGGTAGTTAAGACTGACTGTAGCACAGGCCTATAACTAATGGAAAAATTGTAGAACTTCAAATATATCTGAGCTTAAGTTATCAGTCCTAATTTTTAGTTATCAGACATCAGTTATATTGTTCAGTTATTTAGTGACCCAAGGAGACTCTAATTTGTTCTTCATTCCTCCTCAAGCAGGGGCTTTTTATTTTCCGTTACCTAGGGGTCAATTGTCAAGCCTGCATTAGATGTCAACATTTTCCTCACTTTCCTGATGCAAAGGCTAGCTTTTACAATTCAAACATTTCTGTAGCTTTCGAGCTCAGAGAGAAAATAAGAGTTACTGGTATTTACCCATTGATTTTTTGTGCTTGATACAAAAGTGGTGGGTATACCACATGCTTTAAAGCTTTTTCGATCAGAAGAATACCTGATATGTATGAAAATTCACAGTATAGCTATTTTTTAAAGTTACTTAACTTAAAAGTAAGTTTGGCCTTTGTATCACTCTATTATCAATATAGTTGGTAAACATTGCTCCCCAGTTTCTACTTCTAATTTTCACCCATGATATTTAGTCTCTATGTACAAAAAGCTTGTGTGTAACTGCATCAGAGCATTGCTGTAGGCTGGCAGGTAAATTACTTCTTAGTAAGTATTGATTCTGACACAAAATGAATTTTTTTCATGTGGCAGCAACATTTTACAAATATGAAATGGTGCATTCAAATATATTGCGCATTGTGTCACAGGAGTTGAGCTGTAAGTGAAAGTCTTATAGTTTCCCAAACTTACTCAGCGTTTGAGATTTTATTTTCATCACTAAGAATTATCTCCATTCATACTTCTAAAGCAGCTGTTTTTGTCTAGTTTTATGTTAAAAGTAGTTCTTGAAATTTACTGCGATTGAGGTGACGAGTTTAAGGAGTTAAGATAAAAACAACACGTATTTAGATTTCAACGAACAACACCAGAACTTTTCAGTTTACTCTGAATGGAAAACTGAGATTTAACAGAAATAACTCTCCGATTTCAGTTCCTGACATCCGTGGAAAGAATGGAAGCGAGCCCAGAAAGGTCATCAAGGTTAACAGCAGGAAGAATAAAAGACTCCCGTGCTGGATCAAGATCATTGATCCGAACCAAACGTTAAAGTATTACTGGCTCAAGGACAATCAGACACTCAGCGGAGGTCATCAACGTACAGTCAGACGCTCACAGTTCGTCATTAGATACCTAAGGATACGAAAGGCGAAGAAAGAGGACGCCGGCTTTTACACCTGTGTCGTGGTGAGCGACTGCGGCGAAAGTAATCACACAATACAGCTCATTGTTAAAGGTATGTGAACTTCATAGGCTATGTTCTATGATATGTCAAAGATTCAGTTGATAGATGCATCAAAGTCACTTGTCTTATTATAGATTAATGATTAATCAAGATTAATGCGTTTTCTTTCTCTGAGTAATTTTTATGCGATTTTAGAGGAGACAAAGCCTCAAGACTTTGTGTTGTCATACATACTAGTGCTAATGAGCGAGCCGGTAAAGTACACATTCACTTTGCTTGTGATATTCGTTTTCGTGTAAATCAGTTTTTCCAAAAGAAATTTTTTTTGTAAATGAGTTTTTCCAAGAAGAATTTTTCAATAAATTTCTGAATGGAAATCCTGTTAGTTTTTCGTTGCAATTTTCTTGAAGCAAAAACATGGCAACTTTTCCTTCTCGGAAAGCAGTTTGGGGAATTCTTGTCACTTTTACCTTGTAGCGAAAAATAAAGGCTTAAAAAACGACTCAATTAGTTAGATAATCGGTTTATACCATAGCACGAGTTCGAGCCCGAGTCAAGTTTGAGTCAGAAGTCAATTTCGAGTCACCATAAATTTTCCTTTGTTTTGATTTTAAGCTTTTTTTTTCTATTTTCGTTTTGAGATCTGTGTCAATATGATCATGGTACCAGGAATACAAGAACACTTACTTTTAAGCTTAAAACGTTTTTCACGGCCGTTGATTCCCAGCTGCGTTCAAAAGAAGTAAACGTTCCAAGGTATATACGAGTTTCTCCAAAAGATTCCGACTTTTTAATTGCACACCTCTGAGGCAGACAGCCTTTTTCAACGACAAACTGAGTAAACTGACTCAGAGTATGAAAAAGAATCGCAGCTCTGATTTACATCCACAGGGATCCCATACAAGCTATCTCATTCTCTCCTGAACCAAAATTGTGGGGAACAGATATCATTTCTCTGTAAAACATTTGTTTTGGCAGAATGACCATGCCAAAATTTTCTTAGTTTTTCTCGTGATATACGGGTTTCGCTTGTTCAAAATTTTCGAAGCATCACAAAGTTGTCGAGCCATGTTACATAATGTGTGGACTACACTGTGTCTAGTTGGAAGCTCGAGTTCAATTTTTTCGCAGTTAGAGCATCAGTCGTGGTCACCACCGGGGTTTTGATATGTCTTGACTTTGAAACGTGTTGTAAACTTCGCGACAAATCTGTAACACTATAAGCGGTCTAAGAACGCTTATCAGCGATTCAGAATTCGAGAATTCTTGTCTGTGGTAGGATCGAAACAGACCAAATAAGCTGTTTCGACTGAAGTGAAAGGTAAACAACATAGTTTAAGAACGAGTTTGTTCTAATTTTTTGGGCGGCTTCCATAATAGTGTGTTGTCATACGATGTTATTTTACAGAGAGGGCAAAAATTTAAGTTGACTCGAACTTGACTTGGGCTCGAAGTTGACTCGTGAAACGGTTTAACTCTAGTTTACCGCGCAAGTTGTGTCTAAGTTATTTTATAATTCGAGAAAGTGCTATTATCAATTTTGAGTCAGAAACAACCTGTGACTCTATTGACCTTACTCTATGATTGGTTGAGAGAACTCGCGCCAACATCGCAACCCACTCGGTTGCAAAAGTGAGACCGATTACGTTTTTGTCGTCGGCGTCTACCCTTACGTCAGGCAGTTGTGGCCTGTTTTATTTACTTTCTTTTTTTGAGTTTCCAGAAGCTTTTTATATAATTTTCCTGCCTTGTCTGTTTTTGGGATTATTTTGATTTGACTTTCCAAGACATGAGCGAAATGTGCTCTGTCAAGAGTTAAATCACTGAGATCACTGATAAAACGGGCTATGTCATGCTACAGGTTTGCGCACTGAGCTCTTCCTGTTTGTCGCTTCAGTGTGACTCATGTTTGTTTAGTCACCTTCTGTAGTGTTTGATGCAAGACAATCAATGCAATCAATAAACTGTGTCCTGTATGCTTGAAATGTAAAACTGGCAACGGCGCTGGAGATTCATTCGCTGTTAAGGTGATCACTTGCACAACACGATCCTGAAGTTTCTAGGCAACGTTTCAAGATAAAAATGAATAACGGTTGCCAATGTGGCTTTGCACTTCGGTAAATAGGGAAATGAGACAATAGCAAAACTCAAATATGCAGCAACTTGTTGTCAATATCGAGCAAAGAAGCTACAAGCGGTCTGAAAGGTTCCTTTCCTTGAATTGCTTAACATTTTTAAGAAGGATAGGTTTCCCTTCTAAATTTTTCTTAAAAACTGTTCTTTTGACTCCTTTAGCTCAGCGCTAGGAAAAATGCGTTGTAGTTGGCTAAAAATTTTCCTTCATCCTTCCAAGTTACACCACATGATGTAAACTTGGAGAACTATAATCCCAGAATTGAAGAGTCGGTAGTGTTTTCAGACTAGAACAACATCCCAGGATTTAATGGATTGTATGGAACTCTAAGGTAGTGGCTGCCATTGGCCCGTTTTTTCTTACCCGTTTCTTGATTCATTGTATGCATGCGTGAGTCGTGACGTAGCCTCTCTAACTGACTAAACTCTATGCTCAGGAAAACGGCACAAAGTTTAATCAAAGTTAACAAAAAGTGTTCAAGATTACCGTGAGATGTCGAAATTCGTGGAGGTAGCCGTTTCAATAAATAATTTCAGCGGAAATGATAGCTATAGATCTACTTCTATGGGATATGCTTACTTAGCCTTGCATGCAGCCTTAGCATATTCCATCGAAAAAGATTTACGAAATAAAACCAGAAACTTCCCTTATGTTAAAAAGTAACTAAAAATTAGAAAAAATGTGTGGAAATTCGACTTTCAGACTCCGCCATTTTCAAACTTCTCCCCGCAATCGAAAAGATTCCGTTGGCGGACAGATATGATCAGTAGCTTGATTGACTGTTTTGAATGAATACCAATCTAAAATGGAATGGAGAAGCCTTAATTTTGGCGCGGTCAAACCAATCAAATACCAGCAATGGCCAAGTTTCATGCAGACGATGTTGATATGCTTAATCCTTGGAGATAAACATTTTCATATCATTTACGGCACATTATCGACTGAGCTTTGAAAATTCATCTTCTCTTTCAAATGTTAATTCATCCACATTTCCTTGTAGTTTTGATAATACGGTAGATACATGATTTAATGAGTGTAATTAGTTGTTAAAATACAGCCTATTTTTCTTTCTTTTAGAAGCCAAAACCTGCAAAGCAAACCAGTTTACTTGTGCCGATAAGAGTTGTATTTCATTGTTTTGGAAGTGTGATGGTCGTCATGATTGCCATGATAGGTCAGATGAAAATGGATGTCCAACAACGGCTCCCCTGGTTTGTTCAAAAGAAATGTTTCGCTGTGACGGAGACTGCATACAAGGTCATTTGCAATGTGATGGAAAAAACGATTGTGCAGATGGATCCGATGAGAGAGGATGTGGTGAGTGTAGAAATAGTTCATTCATGAATGAGAAGGTGTGGAAGATGCTTGTGTTAAGAATTTTTTTTTCTGATGAGAACGAAAAAGAAAATACTGAAGTTAAGGAAAAATCTATCGATAAGTTTTTATAAAAAGTATAACTATTGTTTTCGACCAGACATTGAATATTTAAATTTTCTTGTTTCTTATGCTGCAGCTGCACCCCAGTTGAGGCGGTCGTCTCCTCCAAGGCTCGTTGAACAAATGAGACAAAAGGAAGTCAAGCTGATCTGTAACGTGAGCGATGCTAAAAATTACATTTGGTATACGGATGAAAGAAAGATTCATCTGCCCTCTGATCGGTATTTTGTAAAATCACATTGGTATCTGCAAATTACGGACGTTCTTAAATCGGACAGTGGAACGTTTGTTTGCTTGGCTTCCAATAGCTATGGAAAATTAAATTGCACAGTGAGGTTGATTGTTGAAGGTAAGAGTTTTTGAAACTTTGAGCAAATATTAAATTGGGTTTGTTGTTTGTGTGATGATTTGATTTCGTTTCCACTCAATACAACAGAAAAAGAAAGAAAATACTAACGTGGAGGAAAAATCTATCGATGAGTTTTATGAAAAGTACAGCTTTTGTTTATGACCCAACACTGAATATTTTCGAAAACTTTCCTGCTTAAGCGAGCTATTTTTTTTTTTGTTTTCTTTTATACGTGTGTCAAAAAGCTGGTATCTCTGGAGCAGATCAAAGATCATTTAATTTAACATCGAATTCGAGAGGAGAGCTGTGATCTTGGCTATTGGAAAACTATTTGATATTTAAACATTCTATAGTTGGAGTTGAAAATTGTATTTTGGTATAAAGCTGTCTCAGTGCTATTCTTCTTGTCCAGCTTTTGAGTTAAAAGGAAACGTTTTGCAAGGATGATATGAAAAAAAGAAAGGGAATTTGTCTATTAGCTCAGGGGTATTAGTCATTGATACTTGTTGTGTTGAAAAAACAGTTTTTTTCTTTTTTCTCAGATCCAACAGCTTCACCTACAAATGTTTTAGGAGGTACAGTTCATTGATATATTATATAACTTAATTACTTCTAGTTATTATAAAGCAAGGTAGTCTTTAGGTAGATCAGAGCGTTCTGATCGGTTCTTACTTGGTCGGTATTTTGCCATACGGACCGTTTCCACGGAAACGGTCATACACCGTGTATTTTTGGTTTTGATAAGCAAGCAAATTCTAGAAAAAATTTAACTTAATAACCTCGCTTGCTCGAGCCACAATGTGTAATATTGTCCCTCAGTCGTTTTTTTTTAAGGACCTCGCTGCAATTGGTCCATACTGCCAAGACCTGGGCTGAATATTTCCCAGTGCGGCCCTTTCGCTCGGTTAGTAAGAAGTTTTTATCTCAGGTTACAAATGCCTTAATTGTGTAGCTCCTTACTTTTGAAGTAGATCTTCAAGAAATAATAAAAGAGTAGTGTCGCTGGCATGCGTCCTAGGCTGCCAAGGCGATAAAAATGCGGGGTTTGTAGTCATATTCTTAGTGCATTTGAAGACTGTTACCTGAAAGTTAGGCTACTATTTAAAATCTTAAATCATGTTCAGTTTCTTGATTTCAAAAACGTTTTGAAACGGCGCCGGGAGGATGAAAATATTGTGGGTTATGAGGCAAACTTCTCCTGCTGAATGGAGGAAATTTTCATGACCACTCGACGATCATTTCGTGGAAAGTAGATTGTAATACATCTAATCAATTCATGTTATGGAGGTTAGGTTAATCTTAAGCTGTTCAACATAAAACCACTAGAATAAAATACTCTTATGGCAATAATCCAAATTTCGCTGTTTCTTTTGAGCCTGCCTTAATTCAAGGCTGAATGTAAGCGATGTATCACAGTGGTTACTTTCAAGTTGTAAATATTTATTTAAGTTACTAATATTTACTAAAGTAAGCAATATTTATGAAAGAAACTCCCACGTCGCTTCGCTGTATTTTTTAGGTTCTAATCCTGAGATATTAAAAAAAACAGCATTAACAGGATACGAGATAGAGGACGAAAACTGAAAAAGGAAAATCCATTTCAAACAAACTAGCTGTTCCTGTTTTTAGAAACTTGGATATAACAAGCTCTGCTTATAATAAGTGTTGGCCTTAATTACTTTTCCAAAACTTTCAGCTCCTTTCGGTTGCGAAAGCTTTAAAAAAAACTTTGCCGGGAGAGCAAGACAACGAAATTAGTTACGTTCCTACTACTTTAGTCCCTGGACGTTTCCAAACAACCAAATATTGTTGAAGTTACAGGAAACTATTAGTTGGTTAATCATAACCATTACAATTTCCTCAGATGTGATTAGTGCATTAACGCTTTATTTTTCACTAACTATTTTGTAGAGTTGTAATCGGACAGTGTAACATGACAGTTGGCTGTAATCGGACACCTGTTATCTGACAGTTGAAGAAGCCAATCGTACTTAGTCCACTAAGCTAAATAAATCAACTTATAACAGAATTGATCACAATACCCATAGCAACAACCACTTATCCTGAGAAAAACTGGGGAATTTCCAGTATGGAGGAATATTTAACTTTAGAAATTTGTTCTAGATGTATCTTTTTTTCGGAAATCGTGATGGTTATGATTAATTGGTCGTGATTAACTAATCGCTTCGCGGTCGTCCGACTTATTAATCACTCGTATTATTTCAGACCGAATTGGACTCCACTTGATCCTATCACCACTATGAACTGTTATAATTTTCTACGAAATGTATGCGACGCGTTCCCATTTTTGGGTGAATAGCTACAATACATACAGACTAAGGTCGTTCTCTATTATCTTAAAATGTTACTGTTTCCGTGGATATCACCGATATTCTTAATAGCTGGACCAACATTTGGGAATTTAGGCAATGGGTTCGATTGAAAACCTATACTGCAAAACTAAAAGTGGAGAATCGAGACATAATGCGAATGGCTAAGAGAGCAGAGTTCGAGGTACAGTCATTTCCTCCAACTTGTTCTAAGAAAACACCAGCTCATCTCGTCAAAACCATGTGCCCAGTGTTACCTTTTTTATCTTCTAGTTCCTCCTGACTTCTATTGCTTATAAAGTCTTTGATGATTAGAAATGATAACCTTGAAACGTATCTCGTTCCTCAGATGAGAAGACTCGCGATGCTCTTGTCCCCGGAATCGTCTCGGCAGGCGTGCTAATTACCGTAGCTGTTTTGTCTTTTATCTGCTGGCGCCGTCGATCTCGAACCAAGGAGCCCGTGAATGGTCCAATTTCAGTGTCAGGTGAGGCTAACTTGGAAGAGAGGTCGGGAGTTTTTTTAGAGGTTTAAAGATCCTTTTTAATTCTTAGTTTGTGTAGGCTATGTACTGAAAGCCGAAAGCTCGGGTGTTTGAGGCAGAGAACATTCTTTGGTCACATTATGAATTTTAACCTTGCAAACCTTTATTTTTAATATTGTTAAGGTGATTCCTCAGTTTTGAACTCTGCATCTTGTATTGGACATAAAAATCACGTAATCAGGCAAGTAAGCGCGTGCATATTCCGAGAACACGGTCGGTATTGTTTTTCAATAAGGGGACTGGGTAATGAGATAGGATGGTCTTTAGCTCGTGAACGAGCATGGTGACCTATATTTTTAATTGCATAATTATTGTGTATAAATTTTCCCCTTTAAATTGGGCAAATTAACAAACATTCATCGAATTGGAAAAAAAGATATTGCTAAAATCGTGCACAGTCTGTTACTCGATGATGCAAATTATGACTGATAAACGACTCGAGGAACGTTTTGCATTGACGTCGTTTAAAATTCCGTGATAGTTTCAAAAGTTACATATCAAATTGTTTCATACGCTCAAGACTTTCAACCTATCGAGTTTTCAGTTTTAAAATGTTACTTTAATCACCCTTGCTTCCAGCTGCAGCAAAATGTGCCGCGAATCGATGAAATGACGCGCATGATTAGTGCCAGAACAGGCATAGGTGGGGTAAGTTTGGCCCATCATATCTCTTAAACGAGCACGGTGACCTACCTTTTAAATTGTACTTTTCGAAACAAACATTGGTAGGGAACATTTGAGGAATGTTAAAAAAAGAATTGTTCGATAACTTGATTTTTTTCTGAGGAATCACCTCAACGGGTTTTGAGGCAAAATCTGACTCCAATAAATTTTATACCATAGAACTCTCAGCCAACAACATGTACTTATTTTTGCTTTCAGAACTTGAATTTGAATACGACGCGTTCGTTATTTTCAGCTCCCAAGACTCGGATTGGGTGACTAAAACTCTAATTCTAACTTTGGAAGAAAAGCACGGTCTTAAATGCTGTGTACACTACAGAGATTTCGTTGTCGGAGTACCTTTTCGTGAAAATATGGTCAACAGTGTTTACAAGTCAAGAAAAACAATAGCTGTCGTGTCTAATAACTTTTTCAATAGCAATTATTGCGGTTTTGAAATGGATTACGCCCTTCACCGACTCATGGAAAGGAGAGATAACAGTTTAGTCGCCATCAAACTTGATGATGTTGACAGAGGAAAACTCCCAAAGGAGCTGCGAGAAAGGAGCTTCATAGACCTTTCAAAGAATATTGAAAAGGAACACTGGGAAAGAAAATTGGTTAAATGTTTAACGATTCCTAGCGATTTGTCACAGGAACAGATTATGTAACAAGCTTTTGGATATTAAGTTTTAACTACTTTTGTATGTGCGGTAACTAACTCCAAACGTGACGCTGTATAAGTATATAAATAATATTTATCATTTGCGCTGAATAACCAAATTTACTTTGTGCTTTCCCTTCAATTCCTTATGCTTTCAGGTGAGACATCGCTTGCCCACGCTGTAAGTGTTATTAAGTAGTCTTGTAGCAAAACCGAAGAGATTCGTATTGAAACAGGAGAAGGCGACTGTAACTAATGTGTTTAGAGATCAGGAGGGCAATAGGTCTTTTTCATCGGGTATCTACCTTTTTTAAGTGAATTCGAACTTTGTGGCCATATTATTGTAAAATCGTAAGATCTTGTGAGACCTTTGATGAAGTCATCATATTTAGCTTGTCATTATACATATCATACTTTGAGATTTGAAATTAATGGATTGGAGCTCTTTAAGATATACTGACTTCATGAATGAAAGTTAAAATGTAACAATAAAAGTAAAATAACCCCAGATGATGTAAATATATTTTTCTATTCTCCTCAGTTGTTATCGTTGCCAGGCCGTGAAAGTTTTCGAAGAGATGTCGAGAGAGTAAAGATGTGACTGAGGCCTTATATTCAAGCTGTGAGTGGTCTATTATCTCGTAGTGCCAACACAATTTTCCTAGCATGAAAAATTATGTATAGACCAAAATATTTGCGCGTGACGAAGGAGAACACATACTAAAGGCGTGTCGTTTTTACGGAAATCATTCTCGGGTTTTATGGACCAGTCCCAAAAGGATCGATCGTGACGCCTAGAGCTGAAGACACCGATTTTTTTCTGCGCAATCAGTACAAAAACAATTTACTAGAGATCGAACGCACTTTACTAATCTTTGATTATTACTAGTTATATTACTATTTTGTACTTCATTCCTGAGCTACCAAATAATTTTGCTTTCCTTCGTGTGTTCCGGCCTATTTATTATTATTCAGGGACATTGTTAGTTACTTATAATTCCTGACATTGAAGTACACCAAGTTGCTAGTCAGAAAATTATGCAGTATGGATACGGGCTCATCAGATTTTGGAAAAATGTTTATTACGCAGTTCGCAGGACCACACAAGCGCAAGACTCAACAAATTATTTACAGGTATTCCAAAGAAAATCCACAAATGTTCCAGTAAGCAGGCCGAGTAAACATCCAGTTGGGCAATAAGGCAGGTTTTCTACGAACAAAAATTACACCTTTAGCAAGCGAAATTACAATACATACGAAATACGACAGAACTTACCAACTATTTCTAGTTTAGAGTAACCATAACTCAACAATTTTGGTTAGCAAATTATGTTAGTACAAACACGGCAACTAGTTCTTTTTCGACAAAGCTCATGGCCGATGTCCCGGATGTTGACGTCAAAATGCAGGCACGCAATGGGAGCTACAACATTTTCATGCTCGATTTAACAAATAGAGTCCAATAGTACATCGTTAAGGACCAATTAAAATGTGATTCAGATCATCACAAAAGTGACGTCTTCTGTGATCTGTTTTGCCAGCGCAACATGGAACCATTTCTTTTACATGATAGCATTAAAAGCAATATGTTGTTGATGATAACGTCTGAGAATCTTTCCCCAAATAGATCATCGCTAAGGACCAATCAAAATGCGTGTATGATTCAGATCATCACATAAATTGCTCTATTTTATGCCAGCGGAACCTGTATTAAGCGGTCAACATGTATTAAGGGGCGGTAACCATTCCTTGTGGGTGACTACTTGACGCATAATTTTGTGTAGACATCACAATATCTTTATCAATATCTTAAAACTTGTGCAATATGGATACGGGCTCGTCAGATTTGGGAAAAATATTTTCATGATCGATACCGCTCTTACTTTAGCCAGCAATACTTGGAGTGTGAAGCTTAGTGAAGGTCTTCTGTGAAAATCTATGAGGTCCATGTTGAGTCCTTTGGCGAGTGTAAAGAGCCGCGACAGAGTATATACGGCTAAGGAAGCGTGCAAAGCAAAGTTGAGATAGTTCTTCCGCAATATCCTTTCTCTTCCTTAGTCATGATGACATTTCAGTAATACAGTTAGAAGGCTTTTGTTTTCAATATCTATGGAAACCAAGGATTTTGCCCGTGTCTCGTTCTTAGCTATAATTAGCTTATTGATACTGATAGTATAATGGGCTTTGGGAATTAAGGAAAATTTCGCTCACTGCTGGCCAATCGCAGCACACATTAGATCTTGACAAGTGCTTCTCTTTATTGACGGAAGTTTGTGTCTCACCCTCTAGATCACATGTTTTGTTTTATTTTTTTCACTCAGGATTCTGAGAAATGTAATATCGTCTAACTAAGTTGGCTGTCCTTGTTTCTATAATCGGAGACTTGTTTTCTTATGCCGGAGTTTTCATTTGTAGTTGGTTACGTGTTTGAATTTTAACCCCCAGGGTTATACTGAGTAACCACTTGAAATCAGTCTGGTTTTACATCACGATCTTAATCATGACCTTAACTAGTTAGTGCAGGAAGTTTGCTCGTGCTGTTCAAAAAGGTCTGAGAAAACCTGTCGGCACCAAAAGGAAGACTCAGCTGCAAAACCTACGAGTCCGCTGGTAGAAGTCTGAAGTAGAAGTAGAATAAATTTTCTTGTCATTCCTTCCTAGTATTTATCTGCCGACATAACATGTGATCAGACAGAATGACTTCGCTTTAAGGGATGGGTTGAAACAAAACACCATTGGATCAGTTTGGATAGGTCAACCGGTACATGAAATTATAAACGTTGCACGACATTGATTAGAAACCGAAACATTCCGAGATATTTTAGACAAGACAACCTAAACTGTAACTGATATTGGTTTTCTGGTATAATTACCCGCCACTTGGAGTGTTGGAAAAATACCCTTAAAACCCCCTAAATAATCAAAGGCAGACGAAACTGCACTATGCGAAAATAAAGTTTTTGGCCACGGAATGAACAACTTCACATCATAAAGAAACAAAAAAACAATTTACTTTAACTAGTCAACGGTGAAGTGACGTAGTTTTAAACTAAAATGACAAACAATAACAAAAGTTACACAATATGTGATATAAGGAAATAACAAACAACACGACGGAAAGAGGACTCTTAAACACTAACGTTGTTAAGGCCGCACAAGAGACCAATATCAATACTGCAAAATACAAAGGCCAAAAATGGAAAAAGATAAGCGAAAATTACGTTAAGTTATCGAACAGCTGCACTTTGCGCGATAGGAGAGAAGAAAGGCATATTGTTGATATATATATCGAACAATTATGTGAGGTAGCAATAGGTCGGCAATGAAAATGACGAAAAGAAAAAGGTGCTAATGAAACAACAAATATAAACGTTGGCTGGTTACCGGGTGAAAAGACTTAAATAATAAACTCTGAACACGTGAAAAATCCAACACGAATAAATGTTGCACTTGGAACTTACAGCAGATATCACCTTTAAAAATATTTAAAATTTAACAAAAAAAATTTAGAAAAAGACAGGGATAATCGTGCTTCTCTATAAAATGAGGTATATTACAAATCAGAAATAAGGTATTTTGATCTTTGTTACTGCTGACAATCAGCTTTTCTTTCACGGCACAAGTGTGGTTGTTACGTAATATGCTTGATAGATGTACGCTTTTGGATATGAGCCAGTTTGTTTTTCACAATGGCACATTATCATTTGCGTAATGTTTGCTTGAGGTAAGATGATATTGTCGTCGATATAACCAGGGATTAGTCAGGGCTGGTATCAAAAACAGTTTTATTTTCGAACTTCTGGCAGAAGCGCAGAGTTTCTTGTTGTTCCTTTAGTATGCTCCTCTGGTAATAACCGGTAAGCAAACAGAATGTTTTATTTAGTATTTTAGAATTCGCGCCGACAATTGTTTAGGTTCCAATATCTTCCATATAACTTAGGCTAAGTATTTGTTTTCTTTTCAGTCTGACTTGGACTCACTCAGACACCATGATACTCAAAGCGTTGATAGTTTGTGTTCCGTTCGTTCTTGTTATTTGCGAAGCAAGGAATATCTCTGAATCAGGTGAGTGTGAACCTATTTCAAAACATTTTCACTCGCAATGCCACGTTCTGAAAATCTTTCCTTGCCGAAATTTTTAACTTTAAGTTAATTAATGTTGGCACGTATGACGCAGCGACAAGAACGCTCCGCTCACCCAGATCGACTCCCACAATGTGAGTTGGATTTGCTTTTATTTTTCGTCGTTCGCTTTCACGAGGGTTTTTACCCCCTCGACAATAATCTATCTTCCAATTGTCAATTCGATCGAGAGAAAGTAGACGAAGAATCACCTGAGGGATTTGCTTTTCTTCGTAGTTAATCCAAATTAGTTTTAATTCTTACGCCTGAGGAAAGGGGTAGTTCTAATTTTATGAAAAGTGTAGAGATATGGGCAGCACCAAAATGTGTTTTACGGCCCTGAATAAGTGGGGCGTTAGAGAAACACTTAATCTGACTTGTGTGGCCAATTATGACACTGAATACACTTTATCTGATTCGTGTAGCCAATCACAACACAGGATATATATATACTTCATCTAACTCGTGAAGCCAATCAGAACACAGGATATGCTTTATCCAACACGTGTGGCTAATCGTTTTATTTTCGTTTTCGTGGCGGGGAGAAAATTATGGAAGGTTGCTATTTATGGGCATTTCTTTTACAACAGCTCCTGACATTTGCCCCCCCGGATGGATGCGTTGGAATAACGCGTGTTACTACTTTGCAAATGATTCTGTCTCAAGCCGGGTCGCATGGCAAGACGCTCGACAGGCATGTCAGAGAATCCGTGGAGGAGACCTTGCCAGTATTCACAGTGCTGCGGAGAACGACTTTATAACACGCCATGTCTCAGGGTAAGAGCGGTCCAACTCCCTTGCTGAATTCTCACCAAATATGAAGAAGTCGAAAAACTTAATTTTTGGAAGGGGGGTGGGTAAATGTGTCCTTGCAAGGGAGTGTACCGCTGGATATTGCGTAAAAGACTGTTGCAGCATTTTAGCAATCACTGGGAAAAGGGCAACCTAGTTTCACTGTGTGCAACGCTTACTGCTTAAACCGGAAAACGTTGCGAGACACATTAATCTTATACTTGTGCGAATGAATGGGCGCAAGAAGAAAACAAACATGCGCACAAATGTTTATTGTTGTCAGATGGTTTCCTTGTGTTCAATTGACTATTAATTGAGTTTCATTTTTTACTTAAAAAATTTGCACTATGGGTATTGCTGATCTCATTGCGTTGAAACCTACATTATTAAAGCGTAAACCTAACTCCCAACTCGACCAACATTTGAGTTTTTTTTCAAAATCGTGCATGGAGAAAAGTCGTGCACCGTCTCATTGAATGAATCTGAAAATATGAATTGTTGGTTATGACCTGACTCAGTTCGTGCGTTCCATCGTACAACTCTCAGTGCAAGCGCACCTATTTCCTTTAAGCTGTCGTTTATCATTATTAAAATAATAGTCATTATGATTATTTTCATAATTATTCTTTTCATTAATTTTATTATGTAGTGCTTGTTGGATTGGACTTAATGACCTCAGAGCAGAAGGCAATTTCCAATGGTCGGATGGGTCATCATTTGTTTACCAAAAATATAGCAACAAAGAACCAAATGATTTCTATGGCCAAGAAGACTGTATAGAAATTAGGTCGTGGTTAGCAGGTAGTTGGAATGACTTAAATTGCGGTATCGACCTGTGCTACGTCTGCAAGCAGACCAAGAGTAAGTTACCCACAGTATGCTAGCTGATATGTAAAACTTATCATATTTTGGGCTAGCACATTTTGTTCTCCATTCTCTTTAGTCTCTGTAATGAGAAGTCAGTTGTTCGTGTCAAAGTTCTACTCCAAGCATGTACGAACCTCACCGCAAGGCCTTATTTAAAACTTGACCCTTTACATCCTAACATCAGTATGCATATTCTCCATACTGTTCTCTACAAATTTCCTAAGGTGCTGATAGGGGGAATTTGTTTAACAACCAAGAGCCTCTTTAGCTGATTCAGGGGTAATATTCCAAAGAGAAATTAGCTGCTAGTCAATCTTAACGTTAAAAGGGTCTAAGTGCTATTGAGGAAAATTTTAGCTTTGACGTTTGATTTCATAAACGAATATTCACGGCAACGTCACTGATCACAAGATAATCTGTTTTAATATTAGACTTGATACCGGGTATGTAGTGTATTTTGGGAAAACAACGGTAATTTCGTGAGCCTGCAAATACTTGAAAGAATTATATCCTTTCACATTTGGTTTGGAAAAATAAAGAAACATATTTCTAATATCACTTTTTGGTACAAGCAATCAAAATTTGGTAAAATCAAAGCTACAAATATTCATCATATTTACAGAGTCGCCGGCATATGTATGGTCTTTGACCACGTTCTCGATCCCCTAGTAAATTCTGGCACTGAATTTTTACTTTTCACCCGCCTTTCGCTACCGGATACGTGACACCTTAATTCTTTTACCTCTCTCTTTCTTCAACTTCCCTACCGGTCAGGACCTCCGCTTTCGAGCTGCAAACCTCGCGACGTCGTACATATTTTATTTGTTAGCACATTTAATTTTGAGAGGAATTTTTCCATATCGCGTAAGAGATAGGAGCCGGTAACTCGAATTTCAAGTTGCGCAATGCTATGCATAGTATTCGTTTCGAAATACTGTTTTTTCCGTTAGTTTGAAGGAAGTTAGAATTCGTTTCAGTGGCGCTTTAAAAATTATTCATGGATAACGGGGTCTCAAAACTTGTCTTTGAATTCCATATGCTTGCTATTCCGGCATAGTTTTTGTTCGGTTGGCTCGGAGCATTGCTACGCAATTAAAGTAACAGATGACCACCACATCACTGCCCGTCTGAATCAAAATATTCTATAAATTGTTTTTGTTAGAAAGTGACGGCTGATCAAAAGAGAAATTCAGCACAAACTATGTACTAAACGATATTTTTATGATGTGTTCCGCAGAAACCATCATACCAAATGTGAATCCTTTGGAACCTAAACCAAGTAAGTAATATCGACATTAGCTAGAGACACTGTGCATTTTGTTATCAATATTGTCACTATATTTGTGTTTATAAACAAGAGCCAGAATACTTAGTTACTACTTTTGGTTTTCAATTGTCGGAATATCTGAGATGACAAAGGTATCGTACATAACAGATTTCCAGTCATCTCCGATTTAGCTAATCCTGGAATGAACACCAAATTTTAAGGAGTTTAATCATCAGAGAAGATTTTGTCGCAAATGTATTAATTTATTTAGTTACGGTGCGAAATGTGGTACTACAGGATGAATTCGAGGCCCCGTCCAACTTTGAACTTTTCATGCGCTGAAATTTACCTCCTTACTGAGTTCATAAGTAGAAAGATGTTTGAATCGATGAAGTTTGACATGTTAATTTTGGTCGACCCAAGAATATTTTACGCGTGGAACACACGAAAGTCTGATTGTAAAGCAACTTCTAGAGCAAGTTTTTTTTTTTTATGAGCCAAACATAATGCATGAAGGATTACTTCGCGTCCCACAATTCTCTTCTCTTACTATATAGCACCAGTTTGACGATATATTCTTCTGTGGAACTTTTTCTTTTAGCCCCACCCAAAGATTTAAGTTCAGTACATGAAAGGTTTGAGATGGGTCAAGGTGATTGTTTTTTTTTCTTTGTTGTGTTTAAGCCCATGGACGATGTGAGGATGGCTGGATGAACTATGAAAAGAGCTGCTACCGCAGCGTGTCAGATCCTCTTCTTTCTTGGCAGAAAGCAAGGGATGTTTGTCGAAATAACACCAGTATGCATGGAGACCTTGTCACAGTGAATAATCGGTAAGTACAATACATTTAATCAAATCTACCACAAATTCCGTCGAACATGATTGGTTATCACCAGCCCGATTTGAGCACTGATAGGACAATGTGCGCGTCATGCTTTTAATTGGACAGTTAAATCGTGATGACGGCGGCTTACTACCTGACGCCTATTTACAACTCGTCAGAAAAAAGGGAAGCTAATTAGTGAGCATATTAACAAATCGGACTCCCGATTCGCGGTCGCCCGATTTTGTCAATCACTCCCTATGATTACAGACCGAATTGGACTCCTTTTTGTCTTAGTACCATTATTAATCTTACAAGTTATGCATTTATACCACAGCTCTAGTCTGAACCTTCTACGGTTAGTTATTTTAGCTTTTCATTTTCCAGGCAAGAACAGGTATTCTTAAATACTATCACTCGAGAAACCAGCACTGATTTTTGGATTGGCCTTAATGACTTGATCTCGGGGGGCATATTCCTCTGGACAGATAACAGTCCTCGCAAATATACTTACTGGAATGTCAGTGAACCATCAAATAATAAAGAGTCAATGGATTGCGTACTCATGAATCCTCATCAAGATGAAGGAAGATGGAGGACTGCGTCATGTAATCAGAGGAATGGGTTTATCTGTGCGACAGGTTTGTGAAGAAGAAAATGATTTTATGAACTGGCTCTAAAGTACAAAACCATCGAGGAAAAATGATGTCAAGTTAACTTAGGAAAAGAGGGAAATCTGACTTCCAAGTGAGAATTTGAACCCAACACCTTCCGATGACAGGTCAGATGTTGTATCTTCGAGCTTTGAAAAAAAATCATCGGCCTAATAAGGTCTTGTGAAACGTTGGGGTCATAGGTGACAGATGTCTTAGGCTCTACTACGATGAGCCTCTGTAAGTGCGTCCTGTAGGCAAAGGAGGTACGTATGGTATGTCACATTAGAGCGCTTTCGATTGAGCGTCGTGAAATCAAAATCAAAGCAATCTCAGCAGCTAAACTGGCGTAGGAAAAAAAATATCAAGAGGAACTATGCAGTGAGAACCTGAGGTAAAAACAAGCAAAATGCATGAAGCGCAGGAAAACGAGGGTGACCAAGAAGTCGCAATTGGTTTTAGTTTTGAATCTGATTGAGGTGTTTTCTGGACCAATCACATAGCGATGTAAAGCAAAAAACAAAGCAATCCTGGATCATTTTTGAAACTCAAATGAAAATTGCTCTATTCACACATAATTTATTGTCTTGGCCACCGGGTTTTCTATGGTAAGGTGAGAAAATTTTTACATTATAAAGCGAGGCTGAAAGAAATAACTTTAAGAAGAATTTTCTGACTGGCAGACATCCAGTTTTGGCATTTAAACGGACGTGCTTGTTTCGTTTTATTTCAATTTGTTGGGCTTTTCTTCATACAAATCCTTCTGTTGTGAGACATGTTCCCTGCGTTTTTAACACTACTATAAACCCTATCTTGTAGCTAATATTTAAAATAGAAAGCAAGAAACAATACAAGAATGTGAAAAGAAAATGGGTGATTTGTACACAACCTGAGTAGGGGCTGCTTGAAATAATTGTTAGAGATATAGTCAGGCCATCTAACCAGCATTACTGGTAGTTTGAATAATATAAGATTATGATCGAGTGATAAAAGCTCTACGATGCAAGTAATGGATAACCTTAAAAAAGACTACAAATGTATAAAAAAAAATAAGGAAATGGGTGAATTGGGCGGAAGATACACAGAGTTTGTTAGCTTATACTCTCGCTCAGAGTATGCTTTTTCAACTCCTGATGAAATTATTTTTCTAGGTTGTATTTCAAGGAAGATAACTTAGTTTATGTCATTAAGCTCACTCGAATATACTGAGGTTTTATCTTTGATTTTTCATAGAGGCTCTTCCAATTCTTCCAACTCATGACCGACCGCCTGGTGAGCTTTTTTAATTTGTTATCAACGTAACCCTCCTAACGACGATTTAAAGGAAAGTTGAATTTAACCGTGACCGTTGATTGTGCTTTTTTCTTTTGTTTTCTTGTTGGTTCGCAACTTCGTAACTTGGCGCGGAAGTTGGTAAGTTCGGACCACATCTTGGTAACTTGCAATGGCAACGTAATGACTTGCGACTTGCGATTGCAACCTAAACTTGCATGGCATCACTTGGTGGCTTACAATGATAACATAGCAACTTGCAATGGTAACTTAGTAAATTGCAAAGGCAATTTACTACGTTGCCATGGTATTTTCGTAACTTGTCATTTGCAATGGCCATTGAGAACTTTGAAATGGCAATTTAGAAATTTGTCATCCTATTTTGGTAACTTGCAATGGACACTTAATAACTTGAAATGGTAATTTAGTAACTTGCAATAGCAATTTGATAACTTGCCATGGTATATCAATATCTAACAATAGCAACTGAGTAATTTGCAGTGGCAATTTAGTACTTTGCAAAGGCAATTTGCCTTTGTATTGTTGTACCTTGTGATGGCTATTTAGTAAATTGCATGAGCAATTTAGTAACTTGCCATAGTATTTTAGCAACTTACTTCAACAACTAAGCAATTTGCAGTGGTACCTTGTAATTTATAATGGCTATTTAGTAAATTGCATTTATCAGCAATTTAGTAACTTGCCATAGTATGTTGTAATGGCAATTTAAGAATTTGTCATCTTATTTTAGTACCTTCCGATAGAAACTTAGTAACTTCTAATGGCAGTCTAATATCTTGACGTGGTATTCTTATAACTTGCAGGTGCAGCTCAGTAACTTGCGAAGACCCTTGATTAAGCAATTTGCTCTGGCGACTTATTGACTTGCAATGGCAATTTTGTAACATCCAGTGGCTATTTACTAACTTGTCAAAGCAAACGATCGCAAATCAATCACGTTATGCGTGGCGTGGCGGGAATTTTAGTTTATCGTTACACTTGCGTTTAAGATGCTCGTAAGGAAGTCGGATGACCAGACAATTTAGTTCCCTGACGGGGCGCACGACCGCTTGCCAAAAAGGACGAGGACTCTGCGAACGACATTGACAGCCTTCAGGACAATTTGTAGGAAGTACTTATCTCTAAATCTTATATTCTAACATTACGTCGGTGTTTTTTATTTTTCAGTATGGCTGTTTTGGTTAAGTCGTAGCCTATACTCAGCTACACATTACTGGCGAGTTATGAAACGCAAAACAGCAATTTTGCAGTGAATGCTTTTCAGCCTGTGAATGTAGCAAACGGGTCACCAGGTCAGGTTCATTGTTGGAGATTTCTTCAACATTTCCATCCATGGTAAAGGATTTGCGCATGGTCACTGCATTTTCTGAGATATCCGTGGCGACAAATGAAAATGGAGATAAAAAAGATCAAATTTTGATGAAAAGTAAATAATGTGGATACATGTATATTCCATTAAAATGTTATTATACGACTAAAAAGTTGCGTTATACAAAAAAATGCAAAATAGAGAGGAAAAAGATTTGTTGGCTATAATCACAGGAAATCCTTCGTCAAATGAGAAGGTTAAGACTTTGCCAGAGAATCTCCTTAGAATACTTTTCGAGGATATAACATCTCAGCATAACAATAGCAGCAAGAAATAATCCTTTCCTGGCAGAAGCCGTTTCAGCCGTGTTCCACGTCGATTGGTGCCAGAGGCTGTGGTGAGATACAAATTTATAAGCAATCTTCGATTCCATTGGTGCTTGTGACATCAAAAGGTTTGAATGTACAATTTTCTTTTTTTTCCTGAAATAAAGCTGTCGTGATATTTTAGAACAGTCTTTCTGTTATGCAACGTGATTCCATACCAAAACTACAGTTTGAGTTAGGTGTAAGTGGGCTGGGAGTGATATTGTATTCAGAATGGCCAAGGATTTTTGAGAAACAAGTGTTTTATCACGAGAGAATAGAAAAAGGCTGAAGTAAAATTTTGAGGGAAATCCCTGAGAAAGAAGTTATATTTCGAGATTTCAGGGCTCCAACTTAGATCCAAGAGAAAGATAACAATCCAGAGCCTGGAATTCACTCATAAATCATACATACACAGCCCTTGGTTAAGTGGCTTTCTCCTGGAGGCTAAGATTCATTTATATCTAATTTTTGACTTAGAAACCATATTTCGTGTGGCTCTGAACTTTATTTTCAGGTCATAGCATCCATGTGCGTCCATTCCGAAGTAAACTACCACATTTTTGTAATAAGTAAAATAGATTCGAGACAATAAGCAAGATTTTCTCCTCTTATATGCAGGTTAGATGGACTTTGTCATTGTTGTCTGGTGATGGAGAATTTTATTACCACCTCCATTACCCTTGGTTTAATTATTTCCATACCCCACTCTCACTTCACCTCGCCCAACTCTTGAACTTTGACATATTCATCTGGTACATTATCTGAGAGGTTGTGAGATTTTTACACCGTGAACCTGTTATATATGTGTTTTATTTCCAGGTCCTCAATCCTCCGCGTTGGGAAATTGAAGAGGAGAATTAGATAATAAGGTAATTAAGTATGGAGAAGGAAAGGGTTGAATGGTGCATGGACTGTCACAGTGACATCTCTTTATGAATTCTTACCTCAGTGAGATATGATTAGTTTCGTTACTCATTCTTGGTTGGCTTACGCAAGCAATTTGCCATTTTTCCCAAAAGATCGTGGACAAACTACGCAGAAGCAGAGTATTAGAGACTTTAAGAAAAAAACGACGGCGACGATAGTGAGAAGGTGGCGAAATATAAGATTTCATGAACCTGAAAACTCGCTCAGCGCGCGCATTTAAAAACTTTGTAAATATCTTGGTCGTCGTTTACAAAACAACATTAGAAAATCTCCAAGATTTTGCGCAGTCTGAGAACGGGAACCCCTCGGGCAAATCATCCAACGCTCCATTCTCACGTTTTGCTGAAAGAAAAGATCCGGCGCCGTTTAAGACAGCAAACATATCGCGCGCTACGCATGAAATACTCAGGAGAAACGGAAGTTCCTTTCTTTTTTAAGCGATGTTTTCCCAGGTATAGCTGTCGTGACTCCCTAATTAAATCTGTGGCAGAACGTAAGTAGAAAATTTATTTAAACACATCATAACCTCACGAGACGTTGACGAAACACTGCAACAATTTCGAAATTTCTATACCCATGCTTGAAGTACAATCTTAAATGAACACATCACAGAATGGTACTATATAGTTGTATATATCGAGACTGACGTGGATCGACTTATATATTTGCTACTGATGGTCTTAGTCTAAGGTATGCCATTTTGATTTGAAGTCTCTAATGAAGTTTACGACCCTTGTTTCAAATCCTCGTAAGCATACAATAAAATTAGTTTTATTCTAAGATAAGCTTGATTAGTAAGTATTGATAAGGCCGAAAAGATCAGGGATTATTATGCAGGGGTCCATTGAACGAGAAACCCCAACAACGCAAATACTAATCCTGTTGATATTTAGATGATTCATTGGGCGCGCCTTTTGAGGCACGAGTTTTAAATTTCAAGGTCTTTCCAGTCACAAATCACTGTAAAAGCTCTGGTGTGCATGCTTGCTTACAAGATGCTTTACATTTAAGCTTCAAGGACTTATTGAAAACCATATCAATGATAACATTTTTGCATACTTTTCAAATGATTTTCACGTGCCTTTTACTTGCACGTAAAACTTATGCAATAGGTGTGAAAATCGTATTTAGACTTCCTCTAGATTTTACCATTACAAGAGCCTGAGCACGTGCAGATGTGCGTCTTGGTTTTTTTAGGACTTCCGCCGCCTATTGATGTCTATCGTGTGGGAAGCTTTTCTTTGTATGAAAAAAAAACCTGTCATTTTTTTCTCGTGACTCTGGCGAACCCATCTCATTATCAAACTGAAGTTATGTCATAGCCATGAAGGGTATTGTGCACAAGAAAAGCCTTTTCTTATGTACGTTGAAAACCTCGAAATGAACGACTCGCCAAAATGGCTTCTTTTCATCAAAGTAAACGGTCAGGTAACAAGTGATACGCTGTGAAAGTAAGGTGAGGTATTTTTATTGAGAATTTGACGTATTGTTTTATTCCTTAGAGCGGTCGTAAATATTCTCATACAAGCTTTTATAATATTCCGCTATGACTGTTATTGGGCAAGATGATCATCTCACAGCTGGAGCTTGGGCTGCTTGTGGTTATCTAAACTATTTGACAGTCAATTATCTCTTTTTCATATATTAAAGTTCATTGTATTATTATCTCATTTTCATAAATGCTCTCAAAACAGGATAACAACTGAAGCTGTTCGAGGAATCAACCAAAGTAGGAGTATTTTCATCGTCATGATACTCAGTGCGCTCTTGTTCAAAGCGATTCTCGTTGCTTTCCTTGGCTTTCTGGATAATTGGCAAGCGGATGCGTGTTCAGGTTGGTGTGAATCCACGTTCCTTCTTATCCGCTGTCAATGATAAGGGTATTGTTGTTCTTAGTGTATCCCTAGCCTTATTCGGGAAAAACATTTTAAAATCTCTCGTTATCACTAAATATTAAAGCAACTATAGTTTAGTCATTGAATTGAACATGACCATGTGTATATACCAACTAGCAGGTGAAACAAAATCAAGATAGTTAGACTGATTGTGGATTGTGGGACGTTAAATGATGATCTTAAATCCAAAGTCTATGATGGCTTCTCAGGTAGCTGTTTAAAAAGAATTCTCCTTACTTGCCTGGCAGCAAGGCCATCATATCATTTTATCATACCCATGATATCAAAAACAAGACGCTACTCAGAGCCTTTATTTTAGCCGGACTTGCGGTTCAGAGGGAACGAATTGAAGGCGTTGCAGTTTTTAGCAAAATCGCTGTTGGGTGCTTTACATTGTTAACTTAACATTGAGAGTCATACAGATTAAATAAGTTGATGCCATGACAAGTTTTTGTCGGATAAGTATGCTTTTTTTGGTCCGCTAAAGTAATCTACTGAACGATCCCATTGCCAATATTTACTTAAGATAATTGTATTGATCTATCGAATTAAATCAATCAGCTAATAAACTTTAACTGTCCCACGGTTGTTGTTTTAGAAGCGATTCACAGTATTAGGTTTGTGCTTTAAATAAATATTTTGAATTTTGCTCGAAAGATATGTGTCAACTGTTACAAGCTTGGTTATCGTTTAAGCGCGGCCCAGCATTTTAAGCTTGAATACACTCGATGCAAAAACTCATAAGACCTATTCTGCGGAGGAATAACCAAATCGAATTTCTGATTCTGGCCGGTTAACGGCCAGAGTAAAGAGTAGATAATGGTCCAGGTTCCTTCTTTGTCGCATTTTATTTAAAGTAAAAATCCGAAGAGGCACCACGCTGGGTGACTTTAACTCTTCCTATTTAAGCGGAAATTGACTGCATTCTGCATTTGTTTTCATTTTCTCTGCTTCTTTTAGGACTTCCGCCGCCTATTGTTGTCTATCATGTGGGAAGCTTTTCTTTGTATGAGACTAGCCTTATTCGGGAAAAACATTTTAAAATCTCTCGTTATCACTAAATATTAAAACAACTATAGTTTAGTCATTGAATTGAACATGACCATGTGTATATACCAACTAGCAGGTGAACAAAATCAAGATAGTTAGACTGATTGTGGATTGTGGGACGTTAAATGATGATCTTAAATCCAAAGTCTATGATGGCTTCTCAGGTAGTTGTTTAAAAAGAATTCTCCTTACTTGCCTGGCAGCAAGGCCATCATATCATTTCATCATACCCATGATATCAAAAACAAGACGCTACTCAGAGCCTTTATTATAGCCGGATTTGCGGTTCAGAGGGAACGAATTGAAGGCGTTGCAGTTTTTAGCAAAATCGCTGTTGGGTGCTTTACATTGTTAACTTAACATTGAAAGTCATAGAGATTAAATAAGTTGATGCCATGACAAATTGGAAATACTAAAATCGCCAGATGAAATGCGGGGAATAACGTAAGTACCGCGGCAAAGTCAACAGAAAAGTAGTAAGTCGCTTTGTGAATTAGCTTGAGTCACGGAGAAATCCTGAATGATGGTAACCATCCAACTCCACAGAATAAAAAAACGCATATCTCGGGCGTTCTATAAAACCAGTATTAAATAGAATCCTGCGTTTATCAAATTTCCGGTTGCAAAGCTCATCAAATTTTAACGCTGCGATTCAAATCTTTCTCTGCCTGCACGAGCCAACTTCCATTATTTTCCATTCCTGTTTAAAGTTTCGCCTCACAGTTGCTCGATAAAAATTTGCATTTGAACGCTATGATCTTTGTTTAAGAGGTTTTCTCCCGCTGACATCTGGTAACAAATCTCTGGAGTTTTCTGCCGCGGAACGATATACCATAGAAGGCATTTCATGGACCACAAGTTTTTCGACGGATTGAAATTAAACGTATGTGGTAGTGACTTTTACAAGTTTTTGTCGGATAAGTATGGTTTTTTTGGTCCGCTAAAGTAATCTACTGAACGATCCCATTGCCAATATTTACTTAAGATAATTGAATTGATCTATCGAATTAAATCAATCAGCCAATAAACTTTAACTGTTCCCACGGTTGTTGTTTTAGAAGCGATTCACAGTATTAGGTTTGTGCTTAATTTAAATAAATATTTTGAATTTTACTCGAAAGATATGTGTAAACTGTTACAAGCTTGGTTATCGTTTAAGCGCGGCCCAGCATTTTAAGCTTGAATACACTCGATGCAAAAACTCATAAGACCTATTCTGCGGAGGAAAAACCAAATCGAATTTCTGATTCTGGCCGGTTAACGGCCAGAGTAAAGAGTAGATAATGGTCCAGGTTCCTTCTTTGTCGCATTTTATTTAAAGTAAAAATCCGAAGACGCACCACGCTGGGCGACTTTAACTCTTCCTATTTAAGCGGAAATTGACTGCATTCTGCATTTGTTTTCATTCAAGACTCCCTCCGTTTTCGTCAAACCTTGTGCCTTATAGTTAAAAGGGAGTTAGATGCGTGTTAGTTACTTGCCTCATTAACCTCGCAGCCATTGTCTTGCTTCGTACAGTAGAAGCAAAGGAAAGTGTTAGGATCTTGCTCGCAACTTTGCACAATACAACACAACAATGACCTTGGCAATTTTATAACACGCCTCTTCAAGTAAAATTTTCTTTCGATTTGTACATGGAGCCGGAAATCTGTTGCTAATGGATTCACAATCATTCGGTACTGGGCTTATTAACTGCGTGAAGCGATAACGATTTATATTTTACGAGGTAAGAATTCAAATTTAAAAAAGTAATTCATGTGTTCAAGCTTATCTTCTGTTAGTAATATACTTTATAAACGCCATTCTCACAATCTAGAAGCTGACAAACACAAGTAAAAAGTGAGCTGGGTTGTACAACATAAGCTAGCGTGTTAAGGAAACAAAGGAACTTAGCGTATTAAAAAAAAAAAAATCTAGCGTGTTATAGAAACATAGTTCTACCGTGTTAGGCAGACACGAACAATGGCTACTGACACCCTTTCCAAAATCAATTTTTTTTATGCGTATATCTGCACGGTAAGCGTGTCATGCCATTAGCGTGCGAGCTTGTCATAAAGTGCCGTATGCATGCATTCACCTTAGCGTTGAGATACGGTTTTTAGTGATTTATATTCCAATGATGCGTAAATCAATCAAATACTTTCAAAGCTATTTGAGAAGCATATTTGTGATCACTTGTACGACTTGCTTGAGAAAAATGCGTTACTCCATCACCTCCAGTCCGGATTCCATAGATTCCTCTCCACTGAGACCGCCCTCATTCGACTAATCGACCAGCTGTTCCTTGACTTAGACAAAAACAGAGCAACGGGGCTCGTATACGTTGACTACAAGAAAGCATTTGACCTCATAGACCACGATCTACTTCTAACGAAACTGAATGTCTGGGATATGTGATCACGAACTAGACTTACTACGCAACTATCTGAGTGAACGCAAACAATACGTAGTCATTGACGGAAGTCGCTCCTTCCCAAGAACTGTGACGGCTGGAGTACCACAAGGGAGTATACTGGGCCCCATTATGTTTCTCCTGTTCATCAACGACCTACCCTTAGCAGCTCAGCGTTCTACCGTTGACATCTATGTGAATGACACTACTCTCAGTTTCTCATCTGACGTGACAGATGGACTTCTTGGCATCACATCAGCCCTTCAACAAGACCTAGATGACCTTCGCAGTGGTCGGCTGCCAACAAAATGGTCACAAACGCCGCCAGGACGAAATGTCTCTTATTGACCGGGAAACGCCTTACAAATAAGATCGTCGATAGTTCTTTAAATCTTCATCTTGGGAACTCAAATATAGAGCAGGTGGATAGTCAAAAACTCCCAGAACTTGCCATTGACCGACACTTAAGCTTTAATATTCAGGTTGAAGAACTGTGTAAGAAACTATCCCAAAGAATAGCACTGCTTAGGAAGATAAGAAGATTCCTCCTGAACAGCGCATATTATGCTATGTTCAAGTGATAACATAATGAGAGTCTTCAAGCTTCAAAAACGCGCTGCCCGAGTTATCTCGGAAGCTTATACAAGGTCGAACAGCGTGAAACTCTTTAAGAAATTGGAGTGGCTTCCTTTTTATGACAAAGTCAAGTTAAATAAGAGCGTTTTAGTTTTAAAGCGTTTATTAGGAAGCTGTCCTGCATATATGTACGATATACTTAAATTTAATGCAGACCTACATTCACGAACTGGTCATTATAGTAAATTAAATTTCGCCTACCCTCGTTTCAATCGCGAAACCGAGGGAGGGAGGACCTTTAGCGTATCTGCAACAAGGCTGTGGAACCAGCTACCTACTAACCTAAAAAAATAGGCGACAACAGTTGCTTCTTTCAGAAAGGCCCTTCACAGACATTTCTAACGAGCTACGATGGAGTAGAACATTTTAGTCCGAATGCGATAGTAAATTAAATCTCGCCTGCCCTCGTTTCAATCGCGAAACCGAGGCGACCCAAGCGGCATATTGTATTTTGACCCGACCCATGTGGCATATTTTATTTCATATAGTTTTTAGCTTGCATTCTTATAGACCTGTTTTATAATCTTCGAATTAATTTTACATACATTTTAACTCTAATTATGGTACTTTTAGGATCGATAGCCACCAGTTCATCAGTTGAATTACTGTCATGTGTTACCCCCCTTAAATATAGTTATTATTATTAGTAAAGTTATTATTATTATTATTATTATTATTATATCAAATCATTTCAGTTGGATAGTGAGCTGGTTCCAGCTCGTGAAGTCAATAATAAGGTTATGTCAGGGTTGCTGCATTTTCTGCGTCAGGGTAATTTTAGGGGATTCTACAAGGGAAAAAGCTTTATACATCGGTTCCCAGTATTTGTTTCCGCGTTTGCTCGCCTGATGAGGGAGTCGTTAGTAAGAACACTGAATTTAATATGTAATTTTTACAGGATTACCGATACCTCTTTCAAGCATTAATATTGCAATTGCGAGTGTTCGAGTAATGTGGATCATAGTGATGGATCAGGAGGGGCATCTTTGGTGTTTCGGGTGGAACTCACAAAAATTTTGGCTTCTTTTTCAGCTCCTAACATTCGTGAAAAGGAAGGAAACGAGATAAAAGTCATCGAGGTGACCAGCGGAAAGGATGTTAAACTCACTTGCCAGATCAGAACCGCTGGTCAGACCTCAAAACCAAGGTATTACTGGCTCAAAGACAATCAGACGCTCAGTCCATCGAGTCATCATCGTCTGAGGTTAAAACTCTACAGATACCTAAAGATAAAAAGAGCTAAGAAAGAGGACACCGGCTTCTACACCTGTGTCGCAGTAAATGACTGTGGCAAGAATCATTTTACAATGCACCTATTTGTCAGAAGTAAGTAAACATTTGCAACCATTTGAGTTTTTTTAAAAGTACAAGTACGCACGTAATTTATAGCGATATCCTGAGGTGATGTCAGTTTAAGTAGGAGTTGGAGTTGCTGAGGTAGGCAAATAAGGAGGGAAAAGATGGTAATTTCATACTTGCCATTACAAAAGTTATTTCCGACGAAGTTGCAATGTTTCCTTTATCATTGCTTAAAATATTGAACTGAGACAGCTGGGAGTTCACCCGTCAGGACTTAAATAGAAAGATTCAGATGTGTGTGGCCTCAGATAATCTGCATCACAAAAGCATTTTCCATCTAGATAATTTCTTGTGTTTTTCTCTTTGAGGTCCAACACTGGATCCCAACAAAATTACAGTAGGAGTTAAGACAGATGTACTTTCATTTCTAATCGGAAGAAATTAGTGAAAAATGACTGTAGAAGCAGTTTAGTTGATACAGGAGCCGATGTTAATGTTCTTTGAAATAGAGAAAAGCAACCTTCCTCTGGAAGACAGTCTCAATGGGGTGATGGCTTTTACGGCTAACGTAACGTTACGGCTAATTTTGGCCAATCTACGGCTAACGGCTAAATTTTTGGCTGTTGTAAGGCTGTCGGATAACTCCATTAAGACCCTCTGAGAAGAAAACTGATGATGAAAAAAAATTATCAAGAAATTGCAATCTCTTGAAAAAACATTGATGAAGTGTTGAAGCTCATCTACAAAGCCCATCAAATCAATCTTTCAAGTTAAGATTTTGTAAATCCAATTAAGAAAAAAATTATATTTTGGCAATCGCATATGTTATCCAGTAAATTTCATAATTTTTCTACGCTTTGACTCGGGAGCTGAGACGGCCAAGATCTGATTGTTAATTCTCCCCTTTAGCTGCTACACGCATTTCCTTATAAATGCCGGAGGAACGAGAACTTGGTGTTAGTTACTTCTAAGTGATAAGTTTGATTATTCTCATTGCCTGTTTGCTGGATAATGTATGGATATTATACTAGGAGAAATTACATGTTAATCACTTGTGGGAGTTAAAGGGCTAACGGGTTATGGGTCAGAGTGACGTGTTACAGTGAAACCTCGATTTAACGAAATGCCAAAGGACCGGGGAAATTGGTTCGTTACATCGAGGGTTCGTCATATCGAAAACCTCGATTTAACAAATTTGCGGAAAAACAACCAAAATGTTGGTTATGTCGTAACATGGTTAACAATTGCTTTCCTTTTCTTCTTTCTTTTTTTTTTTGTAAGGAGTGAGGTACCACAGGAATCGGAGCAATTACTGTAAATTATATTACTGCTTTAATGTCTATGTGCAGAATTATTCTTGAAAACATTTTTTAAAAATCTAAACTAGTGAGCAGCACTCTGCGAACAGTGGTTGTAAAACTTTTTAATTCTCCGACGCGTTTCGTCTAACTGTCGTAGACTTGAGGGAGTTTTACAAGTTAACACCAAACGCCTCTATTTATAAACCATAGTCAGCGGCTTTTACTGGGGCCAATGACCATATAGGCTTGGCTGGACTTACGAAAAGGAACAGGCGAAGTTATGTAAAATTTTGAACATTTTTAAAGCAAGGTTAGAAAAATATGTAGGGGCCACGGTTTTAATTTAGCGTTAACTTGTAAAACTTCTTAAAGAAGTCGACGACTGTTAGCCGAAACACGTCGAAGAATTAAGAAGCTCTACAACTACTGTACGCAGAGTGCAGCTCACTAGTTTAGATTCTTAAAAAATGTTTTTAAAATAATTCTTCACATAGACATTAAAGCAGTAATATAATTTTATTATTTAAATGGAAAAATATTTGAGGAAATTGCATTTGCGCAGGATGTCCGCGCGATAAAGCCCTTTCAATGCCACCACACAAACGTAACTCTTAAAGAGATTCAATCAACACTTTATTCACAGAATACAGTTATCAACGTTACATGGCTTCATTCAGTTACATTGCAATCAATAAATCCTTGCCGCAAACAGCAATATGGCTCAATCAGCATCAAGCAATCATGCCCTCTTGATTATCAATAGTGCCCTCGTGATTAAGAAAAAAATACCCTCTGTCCCAGCCAATCTGCATTCAGTAATTTTGCCCCGCATGTGATAAAACTCTGAACCATCACCATAAGATCAGTACTGTAGAACACTTAAATAAAATAATGTGTAGACTGTAACCTGCGATGTGTTAGTAAGGGGTGGCTTCCGGGCAGTTGTCGAGAAGTTCAACGCTCAAATACTGTGGCTGTTCTGTGCTTTACAGCTGCTCCAAGATTTACGGTACAGCAAGGCAAGATGAGCCGCAACCTTCTTACAGTACCCGTTGGACAGTCTGTAAAGCTGGACTGTTCTGCCGAAGGAAACCCTCGTCCTACCGTGAAATGGTACAAAGACGGAAACTTGTTTAAGGAAAGGAAAAGTGGCTACAAACTGTATTGGAGTCGATGGGCAACCATGTTGATTCTGAAGGGCTTGGTTCCCTCTGACGCTGGGTCATACATGTGTAATGTGAGCAACTCATACGGGTGGATTAATCATACATACAAACTAAACGTTCATGGTAAGACGAAAAATCCTTCAAATTTTTCCGGCTAATCTTCAAACTCTTGTGATCAATGTAAATCCCATTAAAAATAGTCAAATTAAAATAAACATTGCAAGTAACGAAACAATGGATGTTTTTGGGTTAGATTGACAGTATTGATAGTACTCTCCTTTCAAATTTTTAGAACGAACTCGTGCTGAACCAGTTGTTCTACCCATGGAGAATGTCACAGTTTATCGCGGAGAGAATGCCAGCTTAACATGCAAAGCATCAGGTGGTTCCATGCCTCATTTCCAGTGGCTAAGGTGGTTTCCTCTGCGTTCCAACGGTTCGGCCAACAGTTCGGCAGATGATTCAATTGAAACTCCTCACTACGAAATCATGAATAAAGAAGACACAGACCAATATGTAATTTTGCCTCCAAGTGACGGCAAAATGTTTGATTTCCACGGAGTGAAGTTGACTTTGTTTAATGTCACAAAGAGGGACGAAGGAAAATACACCTGCATTGTGGGAAATACTGTTGGTTACGCAGTCGAACATACTTACATCATTGTCCAAAAAATGGGTATGTAAAACCATAATTAGATTACTAATTCTTAATACGGTTTTCTTTATCTGAGAAAAATAATCTTCAAACTCTTGTGATCAGTGTAAATCCCATTAGAAATAGTCAAATAAATAAACATTGCAAGTAACGAAACAATAGATGTTTTTGGGTTAGATTGACAGTATTGACAGTACTCTCTTTTCAACTTTTTAGAACGAGCTCGTGCTGAACCAGTTGTTCTACCCATGGAAAATGTCACAGTTTATCGAGGGGAGAATGCCAGCTTAACATGCAAAGCATCAAGTGATTCCATGCCTCATTTCCAGTGGCTAAGGTGGTTTCCTCTGCGTTCCAACGGTTCGGCCAACAGTTCGGCAGATGATTCAATTGAAACTCCTCACTACGAAATCGTGAATAAAGAAGACACAGACCAACATGTAATTTTGCCTCCAAGTGACGGCAAAATGTTTGATTTCCACGGAGCGAAGTTGACTTTGTTTAATGTCACAAAGAGGGACGAAGGAAAATACGCTTGCAATGTGAGAAATGCTTTTGGTTACGCAGTCGAACATACTTACATCATTGTCCAAAACATGGGTAGGTAAAACCATAATTAGATTACTAATTCTTAATAATTTTAGTTATAATTAACTTTATTATTTTTAGATTATTAGGGGCTTTCTGTGATGTGCTCATAACAGTTGTTTTTCTTACCACATTTTGACGTCATCTGTGATATGTTACTGAACAGACGCACGGCAACATGGAATTTATTTGTTAACCCTTTAACCCCTAAGAGTGACTAGCATATAATTTCTCCTTATAATATCACCCTTGAATCAAACATTGAGGTGATGAGAATAGAGGAAATGATCACCAAGTAAAGCAGCTCTTGATTATCAAACAAATTCTCTTTGTCAGCACCTTAGGAAATGTATAGTGATTAGTGTGGAGAATGTGGATACTGATGTTAGGGGGTGAAGGGTTAATCCGTTAGGTGCAATTCATTGTCCATGAAGCCCTTGTAAACAGCTTTCTTTTCTTGAGAGTCTCCTTCGTCTCGGGAATCACGGAGGGTCGATTTTTGCATGACTACGTTCTGTGTTTTCTCGAACAAGCTAGCGCCACTGAGCAGCTTAGGCCGTTACAATTACTTTGATTTGGGTTTACAGCACTCAGTTAGAGTGTTTGTGTTGTGACTCACTTGGATGTTCATAAATCTCTTTTTTTTTTCACTTTTTTAATTCGTGAAGATAAAGCAAAACCAACTGAAGCTGAGAAAACTGAAAGCACCACAGATGGTAAGTGTAGCCGTGAAAAACGGACATGATTCATTTTTTAAAATAACATTTGTAATTTCTCTATCTCAGAAAAAAAAGAAGCACGATCTTTCACATTTCTGGTATCCGTATCGTTACTAAAGGACCGGTTTTTATTCGTCGTCCTGGGAAGGGGGCCACCCTGGGGAGGGGGGCTTCCTGGAAAGGGGGGACTTGGAGGATTTTGTCTGCGTCACGATAAAATTCACCTGATTCCCTCTCATTGGCAGTTAATTAGCAGTCAATTTTTTGTAGTCCCCCCCCTTTCCCCTTTATACTTTGGCGACGAATGCTGCGCCTCTGTTCCCCCTGAAAACCATGTGATCCGCCCTTAAAATCCTCTACCCCTAGCTCCAGGCTATAAATTATGAATGGTCGCCAAGTGTGCCAATTGTTAAGCATGCACACGCCACTTAGTGCATCACGTGCGCACTAAATATATGAAAAGCTCATGAAAATCTTGACTGATGGTTGCTGCAAATAAGGATGACCATATTTTCGTTGGATGCACCTTTGTATTTGTGGATCTCTTCCTTTCATGATTCTCTCCGTCTTGCCGAGCAAATGAAACACTGAAATGCGATATAACATGTATCAAGAAGCCTTCTTGTTCGTATTTTTTCTAACTAAACAGGAGCTTAATTCTGGCCTGAGGGAATGACTTTGGTATCAAACAGAATTATCGAAACGTTTCATTTCCTGTAAAAACACACAACGCCTACCTCAAAGAATTTTTGAGGGATTTGTTGAAGGTAAAGTTCCCTTGTCGCATTGGCAAAGAAGAGCTCAATCCCAGTCGAAACCAGACTGGTTTCGACTTTTTTGTTACGACGACTTCAATTACTAATAACCTGTGGGTAATGGCGTTTGGAGTAACTTCTTGCGGTTCAAGCAACCTCGAGGAATTCTTGCCTTTCTCAGCAATTTTTGAGCAAAATATAAGTTTAGAGCACATATAAAGGACGAAAAAGTCAACGATTTTATAGAAAACTTCAATTTATACGAATTTCATGAATTGCCTGTTAACCTTTTGAATACATAACTTGTCACGTGACAACATTTCGCAGGCTTATTACAATCCTTATCTAAGATTTTAGCAGATAATCGGCTAAAATGACTTTTGTTCCGTTTAACTAAAGAGTATTCTTAAATTTCGCCCATATTTGCGAGCAACCCTTTAAAGCTAAGTTTCTTGACCGATGTTGTAAGCAATTATTGTGAGGGCGAAAAATAAGGCTTTAAATTGACATTTATATAGAAATATGAACACATTTAGGTGCACCTTTTCGGAATTTCAGCAATTTTAAGCAACCAAGCATTCCAGTTAGCAACTTTCCAGTGTTTTTACGAGCATGATCAGGACAGGCTTATTTAAGAGGCTTCGTCGAAGCTTGAAGTATTTAGACTTCTTTTTATGCCATGAGTTTAATTGTGGTCGAGTTGTGAAGATCATTTCGACATTAGCAAGTCGTTTCTGTGGCCTATTTTCAATTTGCATTTTAAGGAAAAGGTTTAAAAATCTTTGAAGTGGTGCTGGGGGAAAGGAGGGAATTCATTCAAGATGGAGAGATACATATGTTTGGTTCATTCTTGTGTAGGTTTAACTGTTAGCCTGACATCCATCAGTTCTGAAAGTGAAGCAGATTCGAAGACATCAATGGGTTGGACTGATAGAATAAGGTACCCGGCGGCTGTAATCGCAGTTTCAGTGGGCGTGGTCGTCATGTTGATCATAGCTTCCGGTCTCTGTTATTGGCATGTGAAGAAAGGCCGAGCGAGCTCGTCCGCAACGATGAAAGGCCGACACAACATCACTTCACTTCAAGCGACGTACGTAGTTCAGTCGAATGAGTACGTAATAGTGCCAGACCTAAAAGGACTTGGGAATGATTTTGGCACCAACTGATTGTAAACAAAAAGCCACATGAAAGAGGAACTCAAAAGTAAACTTTGTAAAAGAGAAAAAAAAGGGGGAGGGGGGGGGGAAATAACGGCAAGGCATCTCAGGTTGTTTTCGAAAAAAGAGTCTTTTCCAACTTCATTTTCAAAGCTTGGAAACGACCCTTTCTACTGTGACAGAGACGTCGGCAACAAGTTACGCAATGTAAGTAGTTTGCTAACTTTAGCAAAAATGCTTAAAAAGTTAAATCAAGGAAAGGAAATAAATTCGGAAAAAAAACTGAATCATGAATTTCAAACGCACTATCGTGCCTGATCTGCGCTAGACTAGACTTTGAATGGGGAAAGGTGATAAAATAAAAGAGGCTCTTAGCGAAAGCCAAAAAGAAGCAATAAACAAAGGTCGATAAACATGCCCAGCGCTGAATTTGACGAAATTAGAGCATGAACAGAGACGAAAAACACCAAAAGGAAAACAAATGGACTGACCGAGTTTTGAAGGTTTTTCTCTCTTGTAAGATAGTCATAAGCTTAACTACGGTGTTTAAATTCAAATACAGCTAACACTCATATAGTGTATTTAGTTTTTTGTTCACAAACGAAACAGAACGAAATGGAGAGAAATGAGGAAAAATTTAACCGAACGCATGCAGATTGGCATAACTTTTAAAATTATATAAAAATCATGCTGTCAGAGCAATTGCGATCATGCTGAGCGTCTCGTGTTTCCCCCTACGCTTCTTCCGTGCTTTAAAGCATAACAGAGTACTTTCTAAGACCCTCTACTTATCAAAGAAGGTTACCTGTCATGACCTATTATAAAATACGATGAACACAAAGATAACTTTAACAGATTCAAGTCATGCACATCAAGTTGTTCGCAAATTATTTTATGTCTAAAGTCGTTGTTTACGTCAGCCAACTCTGGAGAACTCAGGTTTTTTTTCTGTTTCATTATTATTATTATCAGTATTATCATCATTGATTTCGCCAATTGCTAGTTACAATGAATCTATACTTTGAAAATTACCGTAGGAAAAGAAACATAAGTGGGAGAATAAATCCCTAAGAAATTCTGAATAAAACTGGTAAATAAGCCAAAAAGAATGTTATAAGGAAAAATATTAAGTAGAACTAGAAATTTCAATGTGAAAATGAGTGCTGGCGATGGAATAGGGTTGAGGGTACGTACATATTCACGTTGGTCTAAGAATCCCAAAATACTTTGTTTTGTAACCTGGGAGGGGTTTTTGTGGGGGGGAAATTTGAAGTACAATAATACAGATCATGATAAATGATATATTTGGACGGGAGGTTGCCAGAAACCACAAGGCTCTTATAAGAAGCCTTCAATGGGAACAAGGATAAAGGAAGCAAATTACATGAAATTCATTGACTATAAAATGTCATTACAATACCAATAGAAATGTGATTGATAGATGGTCTCGAGTTACAAAGTGAATTGATTGTATTGATTTATCTAAAAGTAAGCATTTTTTCCGAAAAGACAGAGGAGACTCAGAACTTGTAAGATTAATAAGCAGAGATTTCCAAAGTTTAGGACCTTGGAAAAGAATAGTAAACTGTTTGATATTCTTTTCTTTTCTTTTTTTTTTAGTTTTATAAACATTTACTGAAGAAACATTTGAACAGAACTAAACTTACAATACTCGACTTCACTCTTCTTATTACATTACTGTGCTTATTGGATTAGACACTAGTACTTATTTCTTACTTATACTAACAGTCACTTACTAACAGTCACTTATATTACAGCTTAATGTTACTTACATCACACTACTAAACAGAACATGACTTACAATAAATTACAATACGAAACTCGCAATTCACTAATTAAGCACACTCGCCTACTTATAATTACTTGAGTACTTTACAAAACGGCACCTTAATTACTTTCTACGAACACTACAAAATAAATTTAGAGGCAGTGCTGGTAGAAAAAAAAGATAAGATTTTGGGCTTTGATTTAGTGTGTCTGTTTCAATTGTTTCTAAAAGTAAGCATTTTTTCCGAAAAGACAGAAGAGTCCCAGAACTAGTAAAATTAATAAGCAGAGAGTTCCAAAGTTTAAGACCTTGGAAAATGAAACTGTTTGATATTCGTTCAACAAATATGAGGTCCAAGGCTATTCTATTTTGTTGAGAAAATAGGCGTTGCCGTTGCCGTTGCCGTTGCCGTTGCAGTGACAGTTAATCCAGTGATTTATTTTAAGTATGATTGACATTTGATTAGAGCGATACTTAGTCCTAATTAGAGCCGTGAAGATACATTTTTTATAAATCAACTGTGTAAAAAGTATGTGGTGGGCTCACATATTATTTGTTAGCTGTCTCAGAGTCAGCAGAGAAACAACGTAGTCTAATATGTGCTCTCAACGCAGTCGACCGCGCACGCGCAAGCCTATTGCAGAAGCCTTGATTTTGTAACAAACGGAAATTCTTAAGGGAAGCTTTGATGCGCTAACCTGAAGTAAGAAATTGGGCTAACCTAAGGTGAATTAGATAAATCTGTGAATTGCGATTCACTGAACACAGAACTACGCTTTGATTGTTTTCTAAATTCAGCAAAGTATTTAATAGTACCGTTTTCTGAATTCTTTGTCGCGGGAACTCACGTCAAGCTGTAAAATTACGACTAGGATGATTTGCGGTGGTCGTCGGAACTTACGTGTTCTTTCCGGAGACAAATTTTAAGGATTGCTTCACGATTCTGTTTTCCTGTAAGCTTGTGGATAAGTGAAGTGAATTACGGGGTAATCCGGCCGTCAGTTTCATTTCCGACTGCGACATTGGTGGGGCATTCGCTAGTTCACGCTTTTAAGTGTAACTTGCACTTTCTCCCAGGTGTAATTAGACAGTCGTAAGCGTAGACAATCAGGCCTCTGCGCCTTATCATGAAATTTGGAGGAGAGGCAACCGAAATTTTGTTGATAACATCAACCTGTTAAAGGGTCTTCTTAGCTTTTATAAATCTATGTTAAGAGTTTTCTCAAGGGTAAGATGGTGATCGCATACAACTGACAGTGGAAAATATTTGACTGAAAGTGTATCGACACTAACCTGAACACACACAAGTTTGCCTCCCACTTTCCAGAGAGCGTAGAGCACCAAGAAGGAACGCTTTGAACACGAGTGAACTAGGAATCATGGCGACGAACCGATTTCTTGTTTCGATTGATTCAGCTTTATCAATAATTACGATTTAAGACTGTAATGAAATAGCGACAAATGGGTTAAGGAAGATATCGGTAAACCACTAATTAATGATCAAAACTCACCAAACTTCCAGGCTTTGCTTTGAGAGCGACGTTTGGTGGTCCGACGAAAACAAACCATAGGACCATTGTTTCGTCAGCTTACCTGCTTTTCACGAGGTCAAACTCTGTGCAAGATGCTTAAAGGTGGAAGTTGAAACTGCCATTTGATGCGTATCCGACTCTTACCAACATGTAACGTCAATAAATTATTGTTCGTTCATTCTGACAATCACAATTGAATGTAGAAAGTTCGGATATTGTATGGATCGTAAATAAAAACAAGAAATCGGAAAGGTACAGTCCTATTGATTGTCGAACCAACGGTCCGCAGATGTTTTTCCTAACGCAGTGGAGCCGATTCTGCAACAGTCACAAAACTTCGGTTTTCTGCTTTTAGCGTTCATTGCGGTTTGCCATTTTCCGTGTATAAATTTTATGAACTTTTGTGGCCTTTACGGTTCGTGGGCAAGACTGTTTGAGAAATGACGCAATTTTTTTTGTCTGAAAAGGAACAGAAATGCATTGCGAGCAGCCCTAAATACCTTTATGAAAGAAACTGATACTTCAGGAATCATTATTCGCAGCCAAACACCTTGAGAACGTTAAGTCACCAACCGTGTTTACAGGGAGCTATTTCTATGCGCATTACAGGTGAGCAGAGTTTCTTTATGAACTACAAACTTGAAAACAATTCTGCCGATGCTAATTAACCAATAATTAACCAAAATACTCCAAACTAGAAATAGCTAAGACAAACTAACTGAAAAATACTATATTAAACTACACCAAACAATGCTGAAGAACTTAAGCTATGCGCAGCATCCTACACCAAAATTCACGAAACTACACTAAACTTCATCAAACCATACCTGACTTCATCAAACTACGCCAAACTACACCAGCTTACACCAACTTACACCAAACTACACCAAACTAAACTAAGTTACACCAAACTTCACCAGACTACACTAATGACTAAACCAAAGTACACCAAACTACACTAAACAACACCAAACTACGCCAAACAACACTAAACTACATCAACTAACACCAGACTACACCACACTACGCTAAACAACACAAAATTATACAAGCTGTGAAAAACTGTGACCGGACTACCATCTGAACTACAGAGTACTAGATTAAAGCTCGCCCAATGCCAGGTAACTTCATTGAGTTCACCAACTACACGAACTGAAGCTAAAAGTACGCGAAAGTACACCCAACTCTACCGGTTGCTAAATTATCAATCAAACTTAACTATGGTCAATTCATTTCAACCACAATTAAACTTAAAAGCGATATAAACTTTTCATGATAAAGAGACGAGACAGAACTTTACATTTGAACAGGTTGTCATGTATATTCTCCTCTCAGTTAAAAAAAAAACTGAAAACAAAAACTTAAAAATAACCTTTGACCGATGGTTTCCTACTTAGCAGCTGAGAATTGATATGTTAGCACAGTAGCGAATATTTGTCAAGCATCACACTTTCACGATCAAAATTTTAATAGATTGTTATCTTAAAGAAAGATTTTGTTCTCAAAAGCAATTGAAATGTGAGCTGGTCAACAATGACTGTTGAAACAGCGTTCTGATTCCATCATTTTACTAGGAACACTTAATAAAGAAACCGGTCGGTGGTTTCTACAGTGTGTATCATCGTCTTTTTCGAAAATTGGTGTAAGCCTCGCAGTCTTCCACATAGGATACACAGCTCCACGTTCAATGCTAAATTCACATAGATTAACTAGAGATGGCACAGTAGCATTTTTTGCAGCCTTTAAAAGTATGGGTGCAATGTTATCTGGTCCAGTGGACTTTTTAACTTTCAGCTGTTTCAATTTTTCTCGTCCAGAGTTATGTGCTATTTTAAACTCGTTCAGTTGTGGTGATTGGCGTTGTTGTATTTCAGGACGAAATTCATCGTCCACCGATTTGGTTGGACAAAGGGCTCTTTTTAAACCCTCCTCGAATTCAGCAACACTAGCATTGATGAGGATCTTTCAGATTGCGCAGCTCTCCACTCAAAATCTACGGAAATATACTTACTGACCCAGTAGGATATTCCTGGAACGTTGTTTTATCTCCACGGTGAAATGGGCCCTCTAACTGCTTTTCTTTTCATGCTGAAAGGGTTAAACCCCTCCAGGACAATTTCATGTCTTTTTGACCACTTTTCAATGAACATTTTCCTATAATAACCGCTTGTTTTTCATTCTCATTTAAATGACTGGCGTTGTAGCCATTTTTTAGTTCTATGATAACATAGAGGGCAAAATTACTGAATGCTGATTGATCAATGAAGAGGGTATTTTTTTCTTAATTTTGCTTGTGAAGGGGGCAAAATTACTTGTTCACGATTGGTCCTCAGGTTGCCTAGCAACAGCTTATGCTATCGAGTAGATGTGAAAAAATTCTCTGTGACAATGGCGTCACGTTTCGAGATAATTGACGAGGAATATATCAAAGAATTAAAAGACGAGTGAAAATGAAAACACGAAGAAAAGCATGGAGTACTGGAAGAAAGTTTTCAAAAAGTGGGCGAATGAAAGAAACTTCCAAGCAAATTTAGCAGAATATGAGAGCGATGTTTACAATTTCAGTCACTGCAGCGTCACCTTGAACATCGCCGGGAATGAGGCCGTTCATAAGGGCACAATTGATGTAAGGCGAGAATACAAGCATGTCTCCATCGAAGAATCAGATTCTGAGTGATCTGAATGCGTTTTGAACGCTTGAACTTTGTTTGAAAAAGCACTGACTTTATATTTTCAAAGTTGAAAGTTTGTTAGCAGGCCTGGTTTTCAATGTCCTGGTATGTTTGTGCAAAAATAAAATTTCATTCAGCTCATTCGTACGTTTGTGGTGATTGATTCTTTGTCAACATTAAATTGCTTCCTGTGACTGATATCTCAAGAGCGCATTCAGAAATTCAGTAATTTTTCCCCTCTATTTCATTAACAAGTAATCGCAATGAGTCCTCGTAAAATTAAGGATTAATATCACTTGTGTTTTCGCGCAGCAACGAGGGCAATTTCAGCAACTTCTGAAAACACAAGTGATATTAATCCTTAATTTTACTTGGCCCCATTCAATTACCTTTACTAATTATGGCCCCTTTTAAAAGAAACATGTACCAGAGAAATGATTTTTTACAGTAATAATCTGTCTGCTTAAAAAAAAACAAAAAAAAAAAAAAAAAACACGACTCGAATAAGAATCTCATATCGAGCGATGTCTATGGGTATAGATATTTCGCTATTTTTTATGCTTTCACGGTGCTGGTGAATGGAAATTGGTCGAATTTCTTCTTTCTATTGGACGTAGTAAAACAGTTGGAAGGTAATTTACTGGAAACTTCTGAAGTAGGATCAAAAATGAAAAGAGATCGAAGTACCGATTATATGTTTATGCTTAGGTTTTTGTGTCATGAACAGTTTTTCACGCTCGGTTTTAAAATTCAAATCTGTTTGAACACATAGTTTTGTGAAAAAAGAACGCGTCTGTGTCTTTTGGTTGATCACATGCTGATACTAAACTGACCATCGAAGGAGGCTCTTTCTCGTGTGACAATTAATAGCACGGATGATCGGATAAACAATTTCGACTTTTTTTCTCCTGGACGGTGCGTTTTATAGGTCCAAGTAACAATGTCGTTACAAAATGATGTCAGTAGCCGTCTTTAGATCAGATTTCAGTGACATCAAACCCAAAGGTACAATGGCTCGGTGGTGACATGGTCCTGATTATTAACAATGTCTTGTTGTGGTCTCGTTTAATTTCGCCTTTAACCGCCCGTACTTTGAAAAAACCGCAATGTTGTCTCTAAATTGTCATTGTTGAATTGGTCAAAATAGCATGTGGCTTGACTAGGAAGTTATTAATGTTACTTTTACACCTTGGTAAGCTTTCTGAACACACCTGTATGTGTTCCCACAACACACCTTAAGTTGTGTTTCACGCTTGTCCTAAATTTGACACACCTTAAGAAGTGTTCTGCAGAAAGATATCTTTTGTCACACCTCTAGATGTGTAACAAAGCACACCTTTAATTGTGTTTTCAGAACATCCAAACTTGCAACATTTACATACATTCACATAATTATCTATACAAAACACCAGCAGTGGTCCACAAATGGTTTATTAATCTTTAAAAAAAAAATTTGTATACAATAGTTTTTAAATAACTATTCCGGATAGCTTCATAAAATTTTGACATATATTTGTGTTACAGTAACTTCTTTGAGAAAGCAAAGGAAAATTTTTTGATCATTCTTACCACAATTTAAAAGAAAGTCAGTATCTCCATTGTAAAACACTATTAACTACAGCTTGGCTTACACCCATGTATGTTTACCCAACTGCTTTGCACAATTTCGTCACTTCGAAACAGTTAACTATAAAATCTTTATGCTACTCTCATACTCAGAAGCAATTTGTCTACATTTTAGGTGTACATGGGTCTTTAATAACAGTTTCCTCAAAATGGATTATCATGCATGCTTATATAAAGAAACTGTCAAAATTGCACATTTGAAAAAAACTTGCTGAAAGAGGTACATGCAAGTCACAATTTTCCCTTGAACAAGTGAAATTCAAAACTTCTGTCAAGAACATTTATGAAATTCAAAAATAAGTATCTTTTCGGGTGGAAAAACAATGAACAGACAAATATGTGTTAAAGATTTTGAAAGATGGCATGTTAACAAAATTAATAAATGTGAACTCAACTTCTCAAGATGGTAATAGTGAAAAATGCATGTAGCACCTAATTAATTTCCATTCAATCATGATTGAAAAGAAATTGATTAGCTACTTAACTCTTGGAGACGTTATTATAAAATCGATTTCTGTCACAAGTCGTTGGAAGTCGTTAAACAATTTACCAGTTTTCTTTCCCAGTGATCCTTTTCAACAGTCTTTGGATAGTCAATATAGCTCCTTTTTCGCAGCTCCCTGGGAAGTTTTCTACTGTCAACATCATCAAGTTTGATCACGACCACACTATTATCTCTCCTTTCCACAAGTCGATGGAGGGCGTAATCCATTTCAGAACCACAATAATTACTATTGAAAAAGTTCTTTGACACGACAGCAATTGTTTTTCTTGAGTTGTAAACACTGTTGACCATATTTTCACGAAAGGGTACGCCAATAACGAAATCTCTGTAGTGTACACAGCATTTAAAATCATGTTTTTCTTCTAGAGTTGGAATTAGAGTTTTAATCACCCAATCCGAGTCTTGAGAGCTGAAAATAACGAACGCATCGTACTCAAATTCAAGTTCTGAAAGCAAAAATAAGGATGCATTGTTAGCTGAGAGTTCTATGTTCAAAATTATTGGAGTCAAGTTTATACTCAGTACCAAGTGAAAACACTACTAACGTAATGTTACAGCTAGCTAGATTGAAATTCATAATTTAAAAAAGGGACTTTTTGGAGAGAGTTTTTTCTGAAAAAATATAAGCTTTAAAGTTTCAGTTCAAACCCTATACAAACTGGGGATATTTGAAAAAGAGCTCTGAACCTCTAAAATATAGGCTACCAACCCCAATATTTAAAGTTAGACTTACCTGACGGTGATCTCGGCAATAAGGGTCTCTTATTTCGGGATCGACGGCGCCAGTAGATAATGATTAAGGCGGCCATAGTAACTAACACGCATGCCAAGACGGTTCCAGAGACAAGAACATCACGAGTCTTCTTTTCTGAAGAACGAATTGCATATCAAAGTTATTTTATCACATAAACTGCGGTGTTTTCTAGGGATTTCCGGCCCAGAGAAAAGCCGTAACAACACACGTAAAAAAAATCGTATTTTTTCACGTGTGCTGATATAGCCAATCAGCTAGGTCAGGTTGATGAATGAATGGCAAAGCGTTCACGATTCTCAATACAAGTTGTTTGTCGGAGCTTTCTCGAATAACGGCAGCTAAAACGCTAAAAAATCCGTATCGCTGACAGATTGTGGGTTTCAAACTTTCCTAGAAGGGGAAGAAAACCAATATACTAAAAGAAAAACCGAAAGTTACGTATTCAGTGGCTTTGGTGTTAGTATTTCTCTCGGCTGAGAATGAAATTCGACAACTGGAAGATTTGCCACTCGCCGATTTTGGTCTTTTACCTGTGCTGTCATTGTAATGCGTTCCATTCAAGTCTGCAAACTCGTCTGGGGTAAAGGAACACTTTAATCCGTTGAGGTCACAACTGGGAGGGGCTGAAAGGTAATAATAAATGTAACGAATAATCAAGTCAAGGCCCACATTGATAACATGCACAGCTTGCCGTACCCAGGGTTCTGAATGAAGCAACATCTCGGATTTTTAAAGGATATTTTCCTCTTCAGTTAACAAGATACTGCAATAATCGAGGGTTCAAGACTCCTTGACCAAGTACTGCACGCATTTTACGTGATGTGTTGTGCATTGTAGTGCTCAATGGGGAACTGAGACTGTAGAAGCAGTTCTCATGTCTCGTTAAGAGAGGTATAGAATACAGGATACCTAAATGTACGCAGTGCACATCTACTTTTTATTTGATTCATTCGTTAATTTCCTTTTTTCATTTCGGAAAATGGCTGAATGCCATTTCTGAGTTGTTGTTATAACTCAAAATTCACTCCTTCCACTATCTCTCTGTCACACTTTCCTTCCGTTCGAAATTCAGGACATAGCTCAGGTGTGCTTATCCTAGTTAGGGAACAACTAGATTTATTATCGTCATAGCTTAATGATCAGCGTCATATCTTGTACTGCAAGCTTCGATGCAAGAATCTGCATTTATACTAATCAACATTTCTGCTCCAAATAAATGCGCTGAACGAAGTGGATTTTTCAAATCCGCTTCAGACGCAATGAGGACAGTTGATAAGTCTAATTGTATTGAGAGGAGATTTTAAATTCATTTTTGATTCATATTTAGATGGAAGTGGGGGAATCTGAAAAAAGAGGGAAATCGGAAATATTTGCCGGTAGAAACGGTACTTCACAGAAAGTAAACTTTCCAAAACAATGTTTGCGTCACCATTAAAATTCTTAAAGCGTATTTCAGCTATGACCTGGAACAAAAGGTAGGGGCCTTTCACAGTCAGGATAAAGCTGCTAGGAACACATATCAGTCGACGAAAATCTAATGTGAATAGAAAACTTCAAACATCTCTATTTGATGAACTTCTTGTAACAAGTCGTAACTGTCCTGACTAAACACTTTTTTTTACTTTCAAAAATTTCCTCTATTTACTTAGCCACAACTAATTTTTTCCACGATATATGATCCATGGTTTCTAGATGTTATTCATTTATATTTGTATTTGTATTTATACTCAGATATTTCAGATAAAAAGCCTTCCAATGGAAAAGCTGACGTAAAGTCATATTATTGCTATTATCATTATTATTAATATCATTATTAGTGGAGAAAACCTAGATCGAGCTGTCATGATTCCTGTGAAGAAGGAAACTCGAGAAAAACATCACTGTTAACCAAGGATTCACTGACAATAAATTCCAAATAACAATTACGAAATACTTTATCATAAAAGGGAAGAAAAAATCCTTGAAAATGGGAGCCCTAGGCTTCTGGGAGTCTCAGTGTATTAATCATTCTTATCTACGGCTTTGTTTAACGATGATGTAAGCATGTTCCACTGCGTAGTTGTTTACAAGGGATTCATGGACAATGAATTACTCATAACGAAGTAATTCTTTACCCCCAACATCAGTATCCGTTTTCTCCACACTATTCACTAAACATTTCCCAAGGTGCTGACAAAGGGAATTTTCTTGACAATCAAGAGCTGCTTTCGTTTGTGATCATTTCTTCTACTATCATTACCTATGTGTTTGATTCAAGGGTGATATTATAGGGAGAAATTATATGTTAGTCACTCTTATGGGTTAAAAGGTTAACAAATAAATTCCATGTTGCCGTGCGTCTGTTCAGTAACATATCACAGATGACGTCAAAATGTGGTAAGAAAAACAGCTGTTATGAGCACATCACAGAAAGCCCCTAATAATCTGATCATAATAAAGTTAATGATAACTAAAATTATTAAGAATTAGTAATCTAATTATGGTTTTACCTACCCATGTTTTGGACAATGATGTAAGTATGTTCGACTGCGTAACCAACAGCATTTCCCACAATGCAAGTGTATTTTCCTTCGTCCCTCTTTGTGACATTAAACAAAGTCAACTTCGCTCCGTGGAAATCAAACATTTTGCCGTCACTTGGAGGCAAAATTACATGTTGGTCTGTGTCTTCTTTATTCACGATTTCGTAGTGAGGAGTTTCAATTGAATCATCTGCCGAACTGTTGGCCGAACCGTTGGAACGCAGAGGAAACCACCTTAACCACTGGAAATGAGGCATGGAATCACTTGATGCTTTGCATGTTAAGCTGGCATTCTCCCCTCGATAAACTGTGACATTTTCCATGGGTAGAACAACTGGTTCAGCACGAGCTCGTTCTAAAATATTGAAAAGAGAGTACTGTCAATACTGTCAATCTAAACCAAAAACATCCATTGTTTTGTTACTTGCAATGTTTATTTTAATTTGACTATTTTTAATGGGATTTACATTGATCACAAGAGTTTGAAGATTATTTTTCTCAAATAAAGAAAACCGTGAGTACTCTTCAGAGTCTGCATTAGCCAGAAAAATTTAAAGGACTTTTCTTCTTACCATGAACGTCTACTTTGTATGTATGACTAATCCACCCGTATGAGTTGCTCACATTACACATGTATGATCCAGCGTCAGAGGGAACCAAGTCCTTCAAACGCAACAAGGTTGTCCATCGACTCAAATACAGTTTGTAGCCACCTATCCTTTCCTTAAAAAGTTTTCCGTTTTTGTACCATTTCACGGTAGGACGAGGGTTTCCATCGGCAGAACAGTCCAGCTTTACAGAGTTTCCAACGGGTACTGCAAGAAGGTTGCGCCTCATCGTGATTTGCCGCAACGTAAATCTTGGAGCACCTGTGAAGCACAGAACAGCCTTAGCATTTGAGCACTGAACTTCTCGACAACCGCCCGGAATCTCCTCCTTTCTAACACATTTTAGGTTACAGTCTAAACATTATTTTATTTTAAGTGTTCTACAGTACTGGTCATATGGTGATGGTTCAGAGTTTTATCACATGCGGGGCAAAATTACTAAGAGCAGATTGGCTGAGACAGAGGACATTTTTTCTTAATCACGAGGGCACTTTTGGTAATCAAGAGGACATGATTATTTGATGCTAATTGAGCCTTTTTGCTGTTTGAGGCAAAGATTTATTGATTGCAATGTAACTGAATAAAGCCATGTAACGTTGATAACTGTACATGTATTTTGAGAATAAAGTGTTCAATGAATCCATTTAACAGTTACGTTTGTTTTGACATTTGTAGCGGCATTTAAAGGGCTTCATCGCGCGGACATCGCGCGCAAATGCAATTCCCTCAAATATTTTGCCATTTATGTGATAAACAAGTAATGGTAGCACTCTGCGAAGAGTAATTAAAAAACTTCTTAATTCTGCGACCAGTTTCATTTAACTATCGTCGACTTGTTCGCTAAGTTTTACAAGTTAACACTAAACTAAAACCGTGGCCCCTACATATTTTTCTCACCTTGCTTTAAAAATGTTAAAAATTTTTCATAACTTCGCATGTTCCTGTTCGCACCTGTATGAGCGCTTTAAAAATGTTAAAAACTCTTCATAACTTCGCCTGTTCCTGTTCGCAAGTCAAGCCAAGCCTATAGGTCACTGTCCCTAGTAATAGCCGCTGGCTATGGCTTATAAATACAGGCGTTTCGTATTAACTCGTAGAACTCACTGAAGAAGTTCACGACAGTTGGATGAAACGCGTCGGAGAATTAAGAACAACAATAATAACATATTGCTATGAGCACATCACAGAAAGCCCCTAAAATCTGAAAATAATAAAGTTAATGATAACTAAAACTATAAAGAATTAGTAATCTAATTATGGTTTTACCTACCCATGTTTTGGACAATGATGTAAGTATGTTCGACTGCGTAACCAACAGCATTTCTCACGTTGCAAGCGTATTTTCCTTCGTCCCTCTTTGTGACATTAAACAAAGTCAACTTCGCTCCGTGGAAATCAAACATTTTGCCGTCACTTGGAGGCAAAATTACATGTTGGTCTGTGTCTTCTTTATTCACGATTTCGTAGTGAGGAGTTTCAATTGAATCATCTGCCGAACTGTTGGCCGAACCGTTGGAACGGAGAGGAAACCACCTAAGCCACTGGAAATGAGGCATGGAATCACTTGATGCTTTGCATGTTAAGCTGGCATTCTCCCCTCGATAAACTGTGACATTTTCCATGGGTAGAACAACTGGTTCAGCACGAGCTCGTTCTAAAAAGTTGAAAAGAGAGTACTGTCAATACTGTCAATCTAACCCAAAAACATCTATTGTTTCGTTACTTGCAATGTTTATTTTAATTTGACTATTTTTAATGGGATTTACATTGATCACAAGAGTTTGAAGATTATTTTTCTCAAATAAAGAAAATCGTGAGTACTCTTCAGAGTCTGCATTAGCCAGAAAAGTTTAAAGGATTTTTCTTCTTACCATAAACGTCTACTTTGTATGTATGACTAATCCACCCGTATGAGTTGCTCACATTACACATGTATGATCCGGCGTCAGAGGGAACCAAGTCCTTCAAACGCAACAAGGTTGTCCATCGACTCAAATACAGTTTGTTTCCACCTATGCTTTCCTTAAAATGTTTTCCGTTTTTGTACCATTTCACGGTAGGACGAGGGTTTCCATCGGCAGAACAGATAATTTGCATTACAAAAGCATTTTTCATCTCGATAATATCTTGTGTTTTTCTCTTTGAGGTCCAGCACTGGATCCCAACAAAATTACACTTGGAGTTAAGACAGATGTGCTTTCATTTCTAATCAGAAGAAAACAATGAAAGATGAATGGACTGTTATTGTAATTATCGGTGGCCACATATATCATGATTTGAATCTCCCTATTCACGTCCTGACGGGATTTTGAACTTATCTCTCAGTTTAATACTTTAAGCAAGATGAAGAAAACGTTGCACCTTTGTTGAGAATAACAGAGTGATAGCAAGTATAAAATTACCATCTTTTCCCTCCTTATTTGACTACTTTAGCAACTCCAACTTAAACTGACATCAGTTTCTCGCACACAGCTAATATAGAAGAAATTTCCCGGGTTTTCTCTCAAGGATAACGCTAGAAATCACGTGCGTATTTGTACTTTTAAAAAACTCAGAGGGTCGCAAATGTTTTACTCACTTCCCACAAACAGCTGCATTGTATAGGTATTCCAGCCGCAGTTGTTCACCGCACCACAGATGTATATGCCGCTGTCCTTTTTCTTCGCACTTATTATCCTTAGGTATCTGTATGGTTTTAATCTCATACGGTGATGATCTGATAAGATGAGCACCTGATTGTCTTTGAGCCAGTAATACACTGGTTTTGATGTCTGATCAGTAGTTCTGATATTGCAAATGAGTTTCACATCTTTCCCGCTGTTCACGTTGATGACCTTTTTCTCGTTTCCTCTCTTTTCATGGATGTAAGGAACTGAAAAAGAAGCAACATTTTTGTGAATTCCAGATTTCCAATTAAAGAAAATTGGAAAGTCCTGTTGTTGTTCATTTAAATCGAGATGCGCGTTGTTCTTTTCGTCATTCCATGAACTCGATCAATCTTTGGATAGCAATGGCTTGGCCAACGAGAGCTTGCAACTTGAAGAAGCAATAGTTCTAGCATTAGCTATCGAAAAGAATCGATAATACTTGACTAGTAAATCCACAAGAGCAAGCTCACCAAACGAAATCAATTTTTCCCGCAAATTTCAATGAACTTCTTGATCAGGAGACTTGACAGGGGGTTAAATGCTGCGTTTCAATGGTCGGCGGCATGACCGCAAAGACGCGCATGAGGTACGAAAACTGTGAATTTCTTTGGAGGCCGAAACGCAAGGTTTGTTCTTACGCGAACAAATTAGAGCTAACGAGTTAAACACTCGAAGAGAAATTCCATATTTACGCGCGCCATGTATTATTCTCCATATACCTATGGTTAGGGTCTATTGGAGATACAACAGTTTCAGTCTGCTTCTCGCAGTATAATTACGTGGAATTTTATTTTTGAGGCGACTTACTGTAGATGAATAATTTTGATTTTCTTTCTGTTAAAGGAACGGCTGTAAGCGTAGTCTCTTTCGCAACCGTTATTTGGTCTCGTCACGCAATGGCTCTCTATCCAACGGGGAATAGAGATGTGGTAAATAAGCCAAAAAGAATGTTTAAAGGGAAAATATTAAATATTAAGAAATTTCAATGTGAAAACGAGTGCTGGCGATGGGATAGGGTTGAGAGTATGTACAAATTCACATTATTCTAAGAATCTCAAAATACTTTGTTTTATAACCTGGGAGATCATGATAAATGTTGTATTTGGATGGGAGGTTCCCAGAAACCACAAGGCTCTCTTAGGAAACCTCCAATGGGAACAAGGATAAAGATAGTAAATTACATGAAATTCGTTGAATGTAATACAATACCATTAGGAATGTGACTGATAGATGGTCTCGAGTTACGAAGTGAATTGATTGTATTAATTTATCAAAAAGTAAGCATTTTTTCCGAAGAGGCATAAGCTAGTAAGATCAATAAGCAGAGAGTTCTAAAGTTTTGGACCTTGGAAAAGAGTGGTAAACTGTGATATTCGTTCAACAAATATGAGGTCGAAGGTTGTTCTATTTGGTTAGAAAATAGGCGTTGCCGTTGCCGTGACAGTTAATCCTATGATTTCTTTTAAGTATGATTGACATTTGATTAGAGAAATACTTTGTCTTTATTAGAGCCGTGAAGATACTTTTTTTTTATATATCAACGGTGTAAAAAGTACGGTGGGCTCACATATCATTTGTTAGCTGTCCAAGAGGCAGCAAAGAAACAACGTAGTCTAATATGTGCTCTCAACGCAGTCGACCACGCACGCACAAGATTATTGCAGAGGCCTTGATTTTGTAACTAACGGAAATCCGTAAGGGAAGCTGTAATACGCTAACCTGAAGTAAGAAATTGGGCTAACCTAGGCTGAATGAGATAAATCTGTGAATTGCGATTCACCGAACACAGAATTACGCTTTGATGGTTTTCTAAATTCAGTAAAGTATTTTATAGTACCATTTTCTGAATTCTTTGTCACGAGAGGTCACGTCAAACTGTAAAATTAGGATTAAAATGAAGGTCTAAATCAAGTATCTAGGACAACAAAGGAGATTCAGATCTACTATACGATTTGTGGTGGTCGTCGGAACTTGCCTGTTCCTGACGGAGACAAATTTTAAGGATTGCTTCACAATTCTGTTTTCCTATAAGCTTGTGGATAAGTGAGGTGAATGATCCGTCGTAATCCGGCCGTCAGTTTCATTTCTGACTGCAAAATTGGTAGGGCATTTGCTAGTTCACGCATATAAGTATAACTTGCACTTTCTTCCAGTTGTAGTTAGACAGTCGTAATCGTAGACAACCAGGCCTCTGCGCCGTATCATGAAATTTGGAGGTGAGGCAACAGAAAT